CATAGGGGTTAGGATTTATGTCACATTTTTGGGGGCACAATTCAATCCATAACATGGGCCATAAAACAAATAAAAAAGGATTGAAATCATAAAAAGTATGTTCTCTGGCTGCAACAGAATTAATCTCAAAACCAATTTCGGAAACATATCTGGAAAACTCCCAAACATTTGGAAAGTAAACAACATACTTCTAAATAATCCATTGGCCCAGGAAGAAATCATAATGGAAATTAGAAAACATTCTGAACCTAAAACACTGCATATCATAATTTTAGGGATGCTAGTGCTTAGAGGGAAATTTACAGCCTTAAATTCAGGTAGTGTCATCCTGAACCATCCATTACTGTTTCCTGTCAGCCTAACACATAATAGATTCAGCAGTCTTTCAGGACCATTGCCTAGATTCTTTATTTTATAAGCACTACACAATCCTGCTTTTCTAATTTTATTGATCCTTCGGTACTAATTAGCTAGAATTCTTTTATAAAACAAAAACTTCCGCTCACCAACTATTTGGTTATCCTGAAACATAAAGGCAAGAGAAGAAAAGCAAGATAAATTTTTTTTGCTTGCGTTTTCATTTATTTTCAGAATGAGATGTTCCAATATTCAACTGTGATGAACAAGATTTTTCCCTAGTATTATGAACTCACAGATTTCAACATATGTCCATCAATTGCAGTAAAAAAAATACTTTTTAAGGCACAAATTGTCTCAGTGGGGGTCTTTTGAAGCTGACTTGACTCCTTCCCCCGTAACAGTTTATTATAGAAATTTTCAACCACACAGTTTTACAGTCAACACTCACAAACACACCACCTAGATCCTATAATTAACCTTTTTCTTTGAAACACACCACCAATCTCACTCACTTTCATCCACCACTTTCAGTTTAGTGGGCATCCTTCCAGGTTTTTTTCTATATATTTTACATATTCATCTATATTATCCATATGATACTTATAATGTAACTTTGTGCATTTTCCTTAATTGGTATTCTGCTGTCCATATCAATATGCAACTTGATCTTTAAGAAAATTAATGTCTTTGGAGCTAATCATGTTATCATATATAAATCTGTTGTATTAGTTATCAATTGTATAACAAATTGCCCCAAATTTTAGGGTTTAAAACAATAAACCTTATCTTGTGGTTTCTGCAAGTGAGGAATTTGGGAGTAGCGTACGTGGATATTTCTACCCCAGGATCTCCTGTGACACTGTAGTCACCTAAAGGCTTAACCAGGACTGCAGGATCTGTTTCCAAGGTGGCTCTTTCACACACCTGGCAATTTGGTGTTGACTGTCGGTAGGCTGCCTCAGTTCCTCCACATGTGGGCTTCTCCACAGACTGCCTGAGTGTCCTCAGAACATGGTGGCTAGCTTGCTTCAGAGCCAGTGATCCAAGACAGCCAGTCAGATGGAAGCTTTTTTTGTGACATAGACTTGGAAGTCACTTAGCATCACTTCTGCCACATTCTATTCATTAGAAGCTGTTGACCATATCCATCCACATTATAAGCAGAATTAGGCTCTACTTTTTTTTTTTTTTAATATTTTATTGTACTTCAGGTGAAGGCTTACAGAACAGATAGTTTCTCATGTAACAGTAACACACATGCTGTTTTATGACATTGGTTAACAACCCCACAACATTTTAACCCTCTAAATTCTCAACTTTTTTTTTTTGGTGAAAATACCCATAGCCAAAGATACGCCATTTCAAAAATTTTTTTTACATACACATTTAAGTGACATTGACTACGCTCTTCTAATTGTGCTGTTATTCTCACTTAAGATGAAGGCTTACAGGACAAAATAGTCTCCCATTTAACAGTTACTACAAATGTTGGCTCTACTTTTTGGAGGAGTGTTAAAAACTTTTATGAACTTATCACAGATGTGGAGTCCCTGGATGGTGCAAGCAGTTAACATGCTCAGCTGCTAACCAGAAGGCTGGAGGGCCCTCAGAAGAAAAACTTGGTGATTTCGCAAAATCAGTCATTGAAAATCCTTTCGGAGCACAGTTCTACTCTGACACACATTGGGTCGCCATGGGTTGGAGTGGACTCAACAACAATTTTTATTTTTTTTAATCACAGACATATTTTTACACTTTTGTGATGCTTTCAATTAATGAATGTTGCCCCATTACACTGTACTTCTAACACAGCATGCTTTACCCACCACCTGCATCCCCAACACAGAGCACCCGTCATGTAGTAGGTGCTTACATAATTTAAACAGCAATGGCGGTGCTTTTCACTTTTCAGGGTGGTGGAGCTGCTGATGGTCTTGGTGCTCTGTCTAGAATGCTAAACCTATCGTCGTCATGTCGATTCCAACTCATAGTGACCCTACAGGACAGAGTAGAACTGCCCCGTAGGGTTTCCAAGGCTGTAATCTTTTTAAAAAATTTTTTCCCATACAAAAATTTATACAGTTATGTGACCCTAATTGCTCTCCCTATACTGTGACAGCACACTCCTCCTTTCCACCTGATTCCCCATGTCCATTCAACCAGCTCCTAACCCTCTCTGCCTTCTCATCTCACCCCCAGACAGAGGCTGCCCGTTTAGTCTCTTGAATCTACTTGAGCTAAGAGGCACACTCTTCACGAGTATCACTTTATGTCCCATAGTCCAGTCCAATCCCTGTCTGAAGAGTTGGCCTCGGAAACTGTTTTAGTTCTGGGCTAACAGAGAATCCAGGGGCCATGCTTTCCAGGGTTCCTCCAGTCTCAGTCAGACCATTAAGTCTGGTCTTCTTACTAGAATTTGAGTTCTGAACCCCACCTTTCTCCTGCTCCATCCGGGACTCTCTGTTGTTCCCTGTCAGGGTGGTCATTGGTGGTAGCCAGGCACCATCTAGTTCTTCTGGTCTCAGGCTGATGAAGCCTCTGGTTTATATGGCCCTTTCTGTCTCGTGGGCTACTACTTTCCTTGTGTCTTTGGTGTTCTTCTTTCTCCTTTACTCCAGGTGGTTGAGACCAATTGATGCATCTTAGATGGCTGCTTGCAAGCTTTTAAGACCCCAGATGCAAGGCTGTAATCTTTATGAAAGCAGACTGCCACATCTTTCTCCCGCACAGCTGCTGATGGGTTCAAACCACCAACCTTTTAGTTAGCAGCCAAGCGCTTAACCACTGTGTTACCAAACCTCCTTTCTAGAACGCTCCCATCGCCGTCGAGTCAATCCCGACTCATAGCAAGGCTTACAGACAGAGTAGAACTGCCCCCGTAGGGTTTTCAAGGAGTGGCTGGTGGATTCAAACTGCCAACCTTTTGGTTAGTAGCCTTCGCACTTAACCACTACACCACCAGGGCTCCTCTAGAACACCACCCATACTGTACCTGTTGCTGTCGAGTCGATTCCAACTCATAGCAACCCTGTAGGACAGAGTAGAACTGCCCATTGGGTTTCCAAGGAGCAGCTGGTGGATGCCAACTGCCGACCTTTTGGTTAGCAGCCTAGCTCTTAACCACTATATCTCTAAAACACTAAGAGATGGTAAAGACTTTTTGTTGCATCAGGAGAATGTTCATAACTTTCCCTGCAAAAAAGAATATGACAAGTCCACTCACTGGAAAGGAGTCACAAGTTGCTACTCTGCTATAAGCAGTCCCTAGGTGGTGCAAACTGTCAACATGCTCTGCTTCTAACTGAAAGGTTTGAGGTTCAAGTCCACCCAGAGGTGCCTCGCAAGAAAGGCCTGGCGATCTGCTTCCAAAATACCAGCCACTGAAAACCCTATGGAGCCCAGTTCTACTCTGACACGCATGGGCTTGCCGGGAGTCAGAATCATCTCAATGAAAACTGATTTTTTTTTTTCCTAATTCTGCAACAGAAGCACATCATATAAGTCCTTCCTGTCTAAGGAACACCTAGCTGCCAAACTATAAATACAAACAACATGCTTCTTGTTCACTGATGTTTCATCTTTCAGCACTTTTAGAAGAAAAGGGTTGGCAATGATTTAAGAAAACTGTGGCTGAAACTAGAAATTGAGAAGATTCTTTTGGGCTTTTGTGAAACTTATTCACCTTCTGCAGGAGTACAGTTCGAAAAGGTTCCACGAGCCACGCACTCCTCACTTCACAGGTGAGATAACTGAGGCACAGTCTCAGTGACTCGCCCAAGGTTAAGGAGTTGACAGGCGGAGGATTCGAACTTAGTATTACACAGCTGCAGAACTCCTGTATGATGAAAACATCCCACAATCAGCGGTCGACCTCGACTCTGTAGAAAAACAAAATACTTAAGACAGCCCCTTGCCGCAAACTTGAGCACACCTTCTTCTCTTCCAGCTCCACGTTGTTCTTCAGACGGTCCACGGCTTCCTCGCTCTTCACGAATCTCTGGCCCTGCCCCTAAACCACGTGGTCCTCTCCGGCGTCGGAGGGCGATGGTCTCCTGCGGACCGAACCATCGTGAAAGTCAGAATGGGTAAAAGGCAGGGTTACGGCCGCTACAGTGCTTTTGGCGTAAGCGCTTAACGCAACTCTTAAATTTTTGTATTTGGCCAGAAATCTTCTTTGTGGTAGTTTTGGCTGCATCTAGCTAACACCGTATTTTATTTCATTTTGGAATCGTCGGCTCTTTGGCCCGGTCAGCAGACGAGTCTAAAAACCGATATGTGAAGGGGAGTTTTGTAACGTAAGCTATATGGTTTGCCCAGTTAAAAGCTAGGATATCACAACCTACATTGTTTGTTGATTTTATGGTTTTCTCTAGTATTGATTTTTGAGTCAAGTTATATTTACATACAATTCCGCCCACTATGCTTTTCCGAGACCTCCTTTCGGCCCCACAAGTAGTTCCGTCCTTCACCGAAACACCCGATGGGAGAAGGAAGGGAGTGGCTGCCATATTGGGTGAAACCAATCCGCTACCACAAATGGGGGTACTTATAACTCCCAATGAGTTTACCTAATGACGAAGGGAACTTAGTGGATTGGAATTGAACACTTACACGTCGTGGGAATGTTAATAATATCGCTGATAACACACTTCCGATCCTGAGTTCTTCCCAGCGCTTCAGATGGGGTCAGGGCGTGGACGCACCCCCGCCGTAGGCGCGGTGGTGCCGACCTGCCCAGATCGCTCGCACATGGCTCGGGAGTAGGCGCCGGTGAATCCGCGGTGCGGCCTGGGAGATTCGGAAGCGCGGCGGCGACTGACTCTGAGGTGAGGGAGGCTGCGCCAGGGCTCATGCAGGACGCGGAGAACGTGGCGGCCCCCGGAGCGGCCGAGGAACGGGCTGAGCCGGGGCCGCAGCAGCCCGCCGTCGAGCCGCAGCCCGAGGAGGAGCCGCCGCGGCCCGCGGGGCTAGGTGCTCCGGAGGCGGCGGACTCGGAGACCGAGACCAAGAAGGAGGCGGCGGCGGCGCCCGAGCTTGAAGCGAAGGCAGAACCGGTGGTCTCAGAGAAGGAGAGCGAGGCGGCGGGCGCGGCCACCGGCGCCTCGGCGGTTTCATCCAAGTCTCCCTCGCCGCCGCCCAAGGAGGAGCCCGAGCCCCCGGTGCGGGAGGAGCCCCGAGCCGAGGCCGCCGAGAGTCGGCCGCAGGCGTCGTCGAAAGAGGCCGGCGAGTACAAGGGGGACTCGGCGGAGGCCGAGCCACGCGCCGTGGAGAATGGTGACGCGGAAGATCCCTCCTTCAGCGACCCCGAGGACTTCGTGGACGACGTGAGCGAGGAAGGTGCGTCCCCGGCCCCTTGTTCTTCCCTGACCTGTGGCCAGTCTAGAGAGAGGAGGTCTTTCAACTGAGAAGGTTCAGTGAGGGGTTCTGGGCTCTGGTGTTACAGTAGGTTAACTTCAGATGACAAGTTTCGGTGCCACGTGACGTGTCTGTGCCCAAGTTCCAGGTTTGTAGAAATGCGAGGGAGGTGGCACCATCTCCCATCTGTTGTTACCAGTGTGTACTTGAATTTTTCTAGGAGAGCTTGGCATTTCTTTCTTTGGGGGAAATTAAATGGATAGGCTGATACGGAGGTCTCTGACGAAGGGAACCTGTCATTTGCGTTAAAGCCAAAAATTTGGGAAGCGGTGGTGGTGATTGTCAGACAGCATGTACACACGAGGCTGTGTCAGCTCACACTGATGTGTAACCATTGAGGGTAGAGCCAAGCAGCACTCTCCTCGGTCGGTCTATTGAAGTGACTTCTCATGGTCCAAGAGCAAGACCTCAGAGGTGCGGGTCCAGGTGTCTCAGGGTTGACACAGGTTCTGACTTGTAAGGGTGGCTGTGGACATTTCCCTGCAGGAATTGGAAGTCAGATCGTGGCAGAACTGGATTGGTGTGTCTCTGCCCCATGGGTTTTCTGGCTCGGGAGATTTCCTTCGCAGGACAGTGCAAGGCAGACCCTGCCAAATTCCTGTTTTGGTTACCTTTTTTCCTAAGTCTGTGAGGCAGGCCACCATCCTTGTGTTGGCAAGTTATTTTTCAGATTCGAACCAAACCAGCAGCTCCACAGGAGAAAGGCCTGGCGATCTGCTCTGTAAATATTACAGCCTAGAAAACCCTAAGGGGTAGTTCTTCTCTGTCACATGGAGTTGCTGTGAGTTGCAGTGGACTGACGGCACCCAACAGCAAGCAGCTATAGCTTGCTTTGCTATGGTTTCCTCCCTTGGTGAGGTTTACAGGCATTATTTCTGCAGTTTGAGAGTTGTTGATAACTGATTACATTTGTTTTTGTTTCTTTTTGGTTTGCTTTTGGCCGTTTTAACTCTCCAAGCTGGGAGCTCACCAATGGATCCTTCTATGTACTGACTACTTTATGGTAAAATGTGAGAAAGTAAAACACCACTGTTGAAGTAGCCACTGATACACCGAGAAATTAAGATGTTAACACGTTAAGGTACATAGGTTTTTTTGTAATATCATGTTTGTGATCACATAGATTGAGTCAGAATTATATAGATTCCTAACAAGTGAAACGAAGAAGAAAAGTTAGGGAACTGGCATAAAGTTGTCAACTCTTAATTTAAGCATTTTTTTTAAAGAGCTACTGTCACCATTATTTTGTTATGTTTTACTTTACAGCATAAAATACATTCTAACCTAAAAAGCAGGAAACATGACAAACTGGTGAAGGCATGGGAGTTGCTTATCAGAGGACATGTGTTCTGAGTTGGAATAGGTTGCTGAGAATTCACTGTGGGCTGTGTTGCTGGGACGTCCTTCAGACTCCTTTGTTCAGACCAGTGTTCTTTTTACCATACCAGTTTTTCTGATTTAAAATCTAGTTAGTACCATTTTAGTTCCAGTTGTCATGGAGTCAACACCGACTCATGGTGCCCCCATGTGTGTCAGTGTAGAACTGTGTTCCATGGCATTTCCAGTGGCTGATTTTTGGGGAAGTAGATCACCAGGCCTTTCTTCCGAGGTGCCCCTGGGTGGACTCGAACTGCCAACGTTTCAGTTAGCAGTTGAGAACACAATGTTTAAAGCACCACCTTATTCTGCAGTTGAAACTTTTTTAAAAGCGTTAGTTGAGCCCAGCTAATTCACAGAAGATTTCTAATGTGGCACTTGTTTCCGGAATTGGAATGTTGGAATCATAGGATGCTAATGTGAACAGGCCAGCCAGGCTAGTTGCCTCTCTGGGAGGTACTTGGGGATCTAGTGTGAACCTGATGTGCACAGAGCTTGCCAGGCTGATACAGTGAGGCACCTGGTCTTCAGGAACTAAAGCCAAGTGAGCTGTCAGGTTCTTTATGTCCACTTGGTTGTGGTCAGTAGTCAAGTCCATCCGGTGTTTTATGAGAAGAACTGCTCTTCAGGGTGTCAGAGAAGGGTGTAAAATGTCAGAATAAGACAGTGTGTTGGTCCTTTTGACAGTGGACCAAGTGTTGTGAAGAACTGTGTGGAGGAGAGGATCGTGTGCCCCGCAGACTAGCTGGTTGCACTTGTCTTGCCATTAAACGTTTTTTGATACAGGTGAGCACTCTTCCGCAGTTGCATCTTAGTCCGTAGTCTTCCTTCCAGTTTAATTTCTCAACTGCTTTTGGTGTTCTCTAAATGTCTTCTTTTTTAGCTCACTAAATATTATCTTCCTTTATATTTGCTGGAGCCCCGGTGGCACAGTGGTTAAGAGCTCAGGCTGCTCACCAAAAGGTGGGCAGTTTGAATTCACCAGCAGCTCCTTGGAAACCCTGTGGAGAAGTTGTACTGTGTCCTATAGGGTCGCTGTGAGTCGGAATCGACTCGACAGCAACAGGTTGGGTTTGGTTTGGTTTTATATATGCTATTCAGTTTTGAGAATTGCTTCTTTCTGTTTTTTCCTGGAGCCAGATTGGGAATCCGTGAAGTGAGAGTAACCAGATGCTTCTGCTGGTAATGATCGAGGAAATGTGTTTCTTTGTGTAGTTACTTCATTTATTTCCTTACTATATATGGGCAGGTTCTTATAAACTAGACATTTGAAGATTGTGGAAAGGAGTCCACAGTTTGTCGAAAAGCTGAACTTTTTATTATGAGCCTTGTAAATTCCAATTAGGCTCAACAGGCCATTTAATTAGATGGTGAATGGCTTTAACAGTAACCCAAGGATTGACTACGATTTCTGTAGTGAGGCAGTCTAGCACTGCTGTGGTTCTTATCTCCCTGAGTCCCTTTTTTTTTCTTTTTGATTGGTCTCAATTTTAGCTTTGAAATGTAGGTGGCAGGTTTTTTTTTTAACGTAGCATTTTCCGTATTCACAAAGGTGTCAGGATTAATTATGAATTGTTCATAACAAGTTTGCTTCCTGAAACTAAAGTTTTCCCCCCCCCTTTTTAAAAGACCTTTTTAATTTTTAATTTTGGAAAATTTCAAACACATGCAAAAGCAGAGAGTGTTCATCTTAAGTAACTTTTGAGAATGAAATACAACAAAGAATATTCTCTGATATCTATCATATTCAGCTTGTTGAAATTCTTAAGATTGTGATAAAAAGTTAAAGTAATAATTGGGTTCCAGAACAAATAGGTGTATGAGTAACAAGCCGTTATTCTTCAGCTGCTGTTTAAATATTACCTTACACTCTCATTTGCTGATGCAGTTCCGTCTAATGAGTTTACTTTGATGGCCACCTTAGAGGATGTCTTTCTGCTCTAGCTCCTAGCCTACTAACCCAGTGACTTGTAATTTTACAGCTCTAAGGAGCCCTGGTGGCACAGAGGTTAAGTGCTCGGCTGCTAACCAAAAGGTCCACGGTTCGAACCCACCAGCCGATCCACAGGAGGACAATGCGGCAATCTAGGTTCCATAAAGATTACAGCCTTGGAAGCCCTGTGGGGCAGTTCTGCTCTGCCCTGTAGGGTCACTGTGAATCGAAATCGACTCGACAGCAGTGGGGTTTTTGGTTTTATAGGCAAGCTTACTAATTGTACAGAATTTATATTAAAAAGATGGTATTTGCTTTATTTCATTTGATACTCAATTTAACCTCCTGTGTCTGTCTCCACCAGCCCACCGGGTGTTACTGTTGGTGCTGGAGCTCTACTGGTTGAAAGGGCTGAAGTCCCGAGACTAGCCTCACATGAACATTTCTGTGGGCACTACCCAGATAACAGGGCAAGGCAGGCACCACCTGGCAAAAGCAGCAGAGTCTCTTCCCTGGCCTGTTGGAGTTTTTCCTCTCATATGTTTCTTTTCCCGTTTTAACACCTATCTTTCCTTCCCTTTTTCTTATTCCAATTGACCATCTTATGGAAATGAAATAGTTTTAAGAAGTTTGGATACTTCTCAAATTAAGTTTTGGGTTCTGTGATCTTAATTTTAAAATCAGGTGACATGAACATAACATATTTTGAGTGTAGTAATGGAAATACTAATTAACACATTGGCTGCTGTGTCCCAAGCACTGTTCTAACAGATCTACTATCCGTAAACGTGTGCGTTAAATTTCAGGCACCACCATTTGTAAGATGCACCATTATTTTATGTGCCCCTAGGAAAGAAAAAAATACTCATGATTAAACTATGGCAAGCCTGCTCTCAGGAGCTTATAGATTTCTCTAGTCTCCTAGTTAAAATACCTGTTGTTGCCCTAATGTTGTTTAGAGCAGCAGTTGTTTTAATTAATTGACTATGCCCTGACATTGTCTTCAAACAAGGCAGTTTTTAATGTGAGTGTCTTACAGGTACTATTTGATAAAAAATTCTGGATAACTAGTTGTTTGTGGAAGAAAGTACCTGATGATGGGCTGTTTACACTGGAGGTAGATCACCATAGGCAGTATTCTCACCCTCTTTTTTTTTTTCTTCCCCCTTATTCCATCTAGTTCAACTGCCTAGAAAAATATGAACATGATCTGGGGGGAAGGGTGGCAGAATGGAGTACGTCTTTGACACCTTTCTTTTGCCTTGAATTATTTGCTATCTCAATTCACTAAAGAGAGATTTCTTTTTTCTCCTGGGTAATTTCTAGTAATTTGTATTCACTAAAATAAAAGTCCTATGAATGTATTTAGCGGCTAAATATTTAATTATTTACTAAAATCTTGCAAAAAGTCAGTTTTGGACTCTTAAAATGTTGACATATGTGATTTGTGCCTAAAGGTTGCTAGAAGACTTGAAACTTAGTGACCTTTAAGAGATCTAGTAGAAGATAGTCTTAAGATTTTCCTCTTTGTTTGCATTTTGCATTATTAAAAGTCTGTTTTTTATTGTTGTTCTTTCCAAATTTTCCACTATTGCCAGGAATCAGTTGACATGTCATGATGGTGTTTATAATTTGCCGTGAGAGGGAGAATGTGAAAAGTTCATAGCTTCTGAATTCTTTTATGTTTAAAGTCCTGAAGCAAACTTTTATTCACAGAGAAAACATTTAGATCGGTTATTCATTTTTTGCTTCTTGGAATTTCGTTTAATGTGCTAAGTTAATGTATTTTTGTCTTCGTTAAGAAAATCATTTGACAATCCCTTCATTGTGCAGAGTTACTGGGAGATATTCTCAAAGATCGGCCACAGGAGGCAGATGGAATCGATTCGGTGATTGTAGTGGACAATGTTCCTCAGGTGGGACCTGACCGTCTTGAGAAACTAAAAAACGTCGTCCACAAGATCTTTTCCAAGTTTGGGAAAATCACAAATGACTTTTACCCAGAAGAGGATGGAAAGACAAAGGGGTGAGTAGTGCTCCCCAACCAATTAAGGGCCACCTGTGCTTCACTTGGGTATCTGATACATAGTGAGATTCTTGCATGTGTATCTGGGACACATCATGAGATTACCACATGTGTATCTCACATGAGATTACTACTTGTGTATCTGACATATGAGACCATCACACATGTATCTGACACACCATCAGATTACCACACATGTATATCTGACATGTCATGAGACTGCACGTGTGTATCTGTCACATCATGAAATTATCACGTAGGTTGGCAGAAGCTCACTGCACATGTCTTAGTATGGCAGTTCTGCCTTGTTCATTTCTTCCAGCCACACTTAGCTGGAAACTTTAAGGAGCAGTGATTTGGTCCCAGGGTCCTGAGATAGAAGGAGAAGAAAATTGCAGTGTGGTTCTTGAATTACCATGTTGCAAGCTGTCTGCTAAATTGTTGAGAAATCAGAGCGTCATATTTAAATTTTCTGCCATCAGAGCAGTTATTGACACAAGATACATCCTAGGTAGGGGCACCCTTTGTGATACATGTATATGTCTGTAAAACCATTACCATAGTCAGGATAACGAAAATTTTGATTAATTTTCTATAATTTACGACTGTGCAGTTGGGGACTTGACCTTCCGGTTAGGGTTTTTATTCTTGTTTCCAAAACCAAAACAAAACCTGTTGCTGTTGAGTCGATTCCGACTCATAATGACCCTATAGGACAGAGTAGAACTGCCCCATCGGGTTTCTAAAGAGCACCTGGTGGATTCGAACTGCCGACCTTTTGGTTGGCAGCCATAGCTCTTAACTGCTTCACCACCAGGGTTTCCTAATCTTGTTTAGGGAACTGTTTTTCTAGGAATTTGTACTCAGTTTGCCTTGGAAAACGTTGCAGTAGGGTGAGTCAGAGGTTCTTTACAGTGTTTAAAACTGATGTGAGGGTTCTTTTTTGGAAAAGCTTTGTGTGTAGAGCATGACCTGCTTAATTTCATAGTCTGCATGTTTGCAAACTTCTCTTTTTCTCATTTCAGGTACATTTTCCTGGAGTATGCGTCTCCTGCCCATGCCTTGGATGCTGTGAAGAATGCTGATGGCTACAAGCTTGATAAGCAGCACACTTTCAGGGTCAACCTCTTCACTGATTTTGACAAGTGAGTTCAGACTTCAGCCCTGAGAATCCGGACACCCCTATGTTCATGATGGCTTATTGTATCTCAGTGGGGTGCTGTGGGCCTTTGGTAGTTCATTTCTTTGTGGCTTGAGTCACTACAAGGCTGATGCGCAACCCTGGGCCCCCACACTCCTGGCCAATAGCACCCCTTCTACCCATCATACCAATCAAAAACACGTGCTTTCCATCACTTCCAGGAGGAGGAAGAGGGATTGTCACACTGCCTGTGGTTGAGAACCACTCCTGAAGTAGTTATTGTTCTAACTGTTACTGTGTGTTAGTAAACATTTTCTGTTCTTTTCCAGGTATATGACAATCAGTGATGAATGGGATATTCCAGAGAAACAACCTTTCAAAGACCTGGTATGTTGTATAAAATTTGTAAGTGGTTAGAAGAAACACTTGCTATCTTAGCCTGAGTTAAGCATTCCTTGGAAGTCGAAGATGCTGACTGAATCTGCCATATCTCTAAGAGCAAGCAGTAGCTGTGAATAAGTTTTTCTTTTGTCAAAATTAACAAAATCTTATGTTCCTTACCTTTGGTTCTCTTTCTAGGGAAACCTGCGCTATTGGCTTGAAGAGGCAGAATGCAGAGATCAGTATAGTGTGATTTTTGAGAGTGGAGATCGTACTTCCATATTCTGGAATGACGTAAAGGATCCTGTCTCGATTGAAGAAAGAGCAGTATGTATTTGCTGCCATACGGGCACTCCTGTATTTTCCTAACAAAGTGGAGCTTCTTTTCTATCAGAAACTCAAAGAAGAGCAAAAAAAAAAACCAAGCCCGCTGCCATCGAGTTGATTCAGACTCACAGCAACCCTATAGGACAGAGTAAAACTGCTCCATAGGGTTTCCAAGGAGCGGCTGGTGGATTCAAACTGCTGACCTTTTGGTCAGCAGCCAAACTCTTAACCACTATACCACCAGGGTTTGAAGTTATGTCTCTGAGAACAACTTTTATCCCTCTTTCAGCTTTAAATAAGTCATGAGAAGCAAACAGGCTTGTGTTTTTCAGTTAAGAGTATGAGGGGTAATAACTGGTGATGGCTGCACATGATTGATGTAATTGGTTTTACTGAATTGTACAAGTGAAAAATGTTGAATTAGCAAATACTGTGTTTTTTATTTTCTTACAACAATAAAACTTTAAAAGCTGACATTGCACAGTAAAAATATTGAATGGTAAAATTTTTGGTGAAAAGAGTATGAGGGATAAGCTCGTTGTAGAAAAAGGAATCTGTGTATGGCTTTTTGTTGTGTTCATGCTGGTGCTCACTTTCCACAGAGATGGACGGAGACATATGTGCGCTGGTCTCCTAAGGGCACCTACCTAGCAACCTTTCATCAAAGAGGCATTGCGCTCTGGGGCGGAGAGAAATTCAAACAGATCCAGAGATTCAGCCACCAGGGGGTTCAACTTATTGATTTCTCACCTTGTGAAAGGTAAGCTGTTAGAAAACTGCAGATTATTCCTTCTTTTCACCTCATGCTGACATCTACAGATAATTTTTTAAAACTTTGTATTTTGCAATAATTTTCAATTTAATAGATAAACTACAAGAAGAGTACACACTTACACCCTTGACTGAGATGCTCTAGTTGTTAACATGGTGTTGCTGTTGTTTTATCTCTCCTTCAAATATGTGTACATAATTTTTGTCCTCACTACTTGGATATTTCCCAAGAAAGGAAATCCTCTAAACATAACCACAACGCCATTATTAATGTCAGGAAATTTAACATTGATGTAATATTTTTAAGTAGCATACTAGCATACTCCAGTTTTGTTGGTTGATCTGATAATGTCCTTTGTAGCGTTTGTCTCCCTCTTCAGTTCAGGATCTAGTCTAAGATGGTGTGTTTTGCAGGTAATTGTTCCTATGAATGATTTTTTCTCACCTTTGAGGCAGTCATACATGAGGTTTGTGGGAGAAGATTGAGCATGAAGAAAGCTAGAAGGACACATTGATCTTTGCAACATTCTCTTGCCAGTTTTGCCCATCCACCCTTTACCATTTGGACTGCCCTTTCTACCCATTCTTGAGGCCCCTGTTCAGGGCCTGTCTCTGAAGCCTCCCTGTGTTTTTAGTGCACTCCCTTGTCAACTTTTGCCAAGTCTTTTTGTTGTTGTTGTCTATAATAGTTTAGGATTTTATTTCATAGTCTTGTCCTTTTGTTATGGGCTCATCAAGAGCTCTGTGTCATGGTGCTCCTGATACTTAGTGAGTTCTGTGCCTGTTTTGAGCTTTTTAGAATCAAAATTTTCAAACAGAAAACTAACAAGATTACGGTAATGAACATCCGCATACTAATTACCTACATTAATGATTTCTTAGTTTGCCATAGTCGTTTCAAAATCTATTTACTGAATATTTTGAATTACAGATGTCCATACAAAAGTAGGCATCTACACAAAATAAGGATGTTTCCTTACATAATCACAATTATATTATCACCCCTACAGATAATTAACAGTAATTTCTTAGTACCATTTAATATCTCAGGAGATATCCAGAATTCCCATTTGTCCTCTGAATAGTTTTTACAGCTGGTCTGTTCAGACCTGGATTCAGACAAGGTGTGCATGTTGCATCTGGTTGTTCTCTTAAGCCTCTTCTCTCAGACCCTGCATCCTTCCTTATCTGTCTTACCTCCCCGGTTTGTCTTATTACTTCCTTGAGATGTTATTTAACTTGTTCCTTTAATCCTTGTATTTCCTGTAAATCATCAATTAGATCTATCTCATGGATCTTTCTTAATTTTGATGAAGGAATTTTTAATGCAGTATATTTTTAGGATACCCCTTAATTCCCAATTGCTTTGCATATGTTTGGTACAAAGTAATGGCTAATTCTCATTCCAACATTAGTCTATTAAAATTGGATCCATATAGAGACTCTTAGCCTGATCCCTGAGCCAGTATACAGGTTTATGAAGCTTTATGGAGTTCTTCATCCCTGTGAAGCTTTTCCCGGCTCCTTCAGGCAATTAGTTGTTGCACTTTTGTTCTCATAGCACATTATGTGTGTCACTACACTTAACACATTAGGGTGTCATTGATATGCTCACACGTCTGTCTCCCCTCTGAAGAACAGACTGGACCACCTTTTACTCATTATTGCATCCTGGGGCTTTGCCAAGTGTCAACACTTGAAATGTTTGAATGAATGGACACTTTGGTCATGTAGATTGCTACGTGGAAAATCTGTGTTTTGCTTCAGTGCTTAATCAAGAAACAGTGCTATATAGTTTAACAATAGTCTTATATTAAGTGTACTTTCCAGATACAGGCAGTCCCCAGATTACTGATGAGTTCCGTTCCTAAGTCTGTCTTTAAGTCGAATTTGTACGATTGGAACAGTTAGGTACGGTTCTAGGTATAGTAAATATCTAATGTCAGTTAGTTAACCGTCTTGGTATATAGTATATAGTGTACTTTTCTATGCATAGAAAACATTAAACACTTCTGTATACACTAAAACATTTTTAACATAATAATACAGTAATATAATTATCGATGCATATCACAAAGTAGCACCTTTTTGTTATTATGAACCATTGTATGTACCTCAGATTTTTTATGTAATAGGCTTATGGGGGGTTGGTTCATAACTACTAGTTGTAAGTAAGTTGGACATCTGTAACCCGGGGACTGCCTGTATGTAGAAGAGGTCTCGGTTGTTGTTAGGTGCCGTCAAGTCGGTTCTGACTCATAGCGACCCTACGTACAACAGAACAAAACGCAGCCCAGTCTTGCGCCATCCTCAGAATTGTTGCTGTGCTTGAGCCTGTTGCTGCAGCTGCTGTATCATTCTATCTCACTGAGGGTCTTTCTCTTTTCTGCTGGTACTCTACGTTACCAAGCGTGATGTCCTTCTCCAGGGTCTGGTCCCTCCTGATAACATATCCAGAGTATGTGAGACAAAGCCATCCTTGCTTCTGATGAGCATTCTGGCTGTACTTCTTCCAAAACAGATTTGTTCTTCTGGCAGTTCACGGTATAGTCAGTTTTCTTCACCAACACCATAATTCAAATGCCTCATTTCTTCTTTGGTCTTCCTTATTCATTGTCCAGCTTTCACATGTATATGAGGCGATTTAAGATACATGGCTTAGGTCAGCTGCACTTTAGTCCTCAGAGTGACACCTTGGCTCTTCAAGACTTTTAAGAGGTCTTTTGCAATAGATTTGCTGAATGCAGTATGTTGTTTGATTTCTTGACTGCTACTTCCTTGGGTGTTAATTGTGGATCCAAGTAATATGAAGTCCTTGACAACTTCAAACATGGGGAGAGGTGATTCGTACCATAATCTTTAATCTAGCTAATCAGGACATCAAAAGAGCCTTAATTAGAAAAGATTTATTGAAGGCACTGTTGGAAAATAGCTTGGGGTTGCTTCTGTTTTCTTTTCATCATGTTTGTTTCTGCCTTTCTACCCTCCCCTTGTTATTAGGTGCAATCTGGTTTGGGACTTTTTCACTTTGAATGAACAAAGTGAACAGGTGCTATAGCTGTAGAGCAGCCAGCAGTTGGGTAAATAATTCCTGGGTGAAGCCCCAGGCACAAGAGTTGTCCTCTTATGCATACTTAGTTTTGAACCATATGTGGCCAGCTGTTCTGTTTACCTCATTCATCTTAATTAAACACTAGTGAAGATAATGTCTGGGAATTCCACACTGTCCTTCCTCTAGAGGACGCCAGCAGACTTGTGTTCAGAGTCTGTTTAGTTATTTCTTGTCCTGATTTTAGTGGACAGACATCTTAGGGTGATTCTTGCAGTATTCTGTGCTGTGAGAGGTTGTCCAGCTCTGCATTTCCAGTGCGACCTTGTGATGGGACTGTGCTGATAGGAGACGATTGCCAGGGCGGTGTGCTGAATTCCATGAGCCTGGTGCTTGTCTGGCAGTGTTGGCTCTACCTCCAGTCACCGTAACCATTGTCGAAGTTGCTGAAGCTCCGTCCCTCGACTGTAAAATGGAGCATGTGCTTGCCATGTCCACAGTGACTGATCCTTGGAGAGATGGGGGTAGGAGCACAGAGCGTTATACAGAGTGCGTCCCCTTCTCCCTCAGATACCTGGTGACGTTCAGCCCCCTGATGGACACTCAGGAAGACCCGCAGGCCATCATCATCTGGGACATCCTGACCGGGCATAAGAAGAGGGGTTTTCACTGTGAAAGCTCAGCCCACTGGCCTATTTTTAAGTAAGCAGACCAGCAATACCTGTAGATGATCTTTCTGCGGTCTTTGCTTTTGTCATTGGAACAGCCTGGCGCTTCCCTTTTTTCTTTTCAGGTGGAGCCATGATGGCAAATTCTTTGCCAGAATGACACTCGACACCCTCAGCATCTATGAAACTCCTGTAAGTGATTTTAATTATCTGAGAAAGGAACTGCCCTGTCAGTTGCCTGTAGTTTTGTAGAATTTTCCCTTAGTCTGCAGTACAGTAAAAAGAGAGAGGAGCTTTGATAACTACATACTAAGGGCATATTTCTTGTGCCTTTTTTGTTTCTCATGTCCAGGATTCTGCTCTTTAATCATGCTAGCCCCTGCATTGGCCTGCCGCAGGGCACTAAGGGCAGGAGTTGATGAAATGGGTGTCAGAAGTGTGGACTTTGCTGCCTTGCTTCATTGTCCATCTGTCACCCTCTGTCCTATCCTGCTCTCTGGGCAAACCCACGCCAGAATCCCAGTGTCCTTTTTTAAAAAAATTGTATGAGTTATTGAGACATTGGCATGATTTGACTCAACTGTAATCCTTGTTCTTTTGGACAGTCTATGGGTCTGTTGGACAAGAAGAGTTTGAAAATCTCTGGCATAAAGTAAGTGGAAGTTCTTGTGGAGCCTGTTGGAAACAGGCTTGCATTCTGTGGTTCTAAGCATGGGCGCAGGACCTGGGTTGCTGGTTAGTGAGCCCCTTCACCTCCCAGGGCTCTCACTTGTGACCACTTCCTTTCCCAAGTCCATGAGCAAGTCTTTGAGGCAGAAGCGTCTTTGGTCGGCTTCATTTCAGGTTCCCATCTTTGAACTATAGACTCTGGGGGGTTGTGCCTTCTAAGGAAGAGAGGAAGAGACTCCATTACTGAGTGGGCTGCAGGCTACCTTGGGGATCTGTGAGATAGGTTAGATAGCTCATGGCACTGTCAGAAGAGTGGGCATGTTTTTATTTATCTTAAAACTAGTCCATCTCTTTGCAGGGACGTACCGGCAATCCAGTGGCATTCACGTTTCTTAGTCCTTTTATTTTTACATAATAAGGAAAAAGTATGACTTACAATGAAAAAGAAAACCCGGAGATTGGTTTTCAATACATGCAAAACAGAGAATCTAGCCTGTGCAGAAATATTTTCACATGTATGAATTCCTGAATTGCTCATTACTATAGCAGTCCTGTAGAGGAATTTACGTACTAAAGGGGAATCCTCTAATTTTTCCTTCATCCTCTTACAGTTTTTTATTTGGAGCTTTTCCCCTTTGGCACCTTAAGTAATCTGCAAAAATTGTCCAGTTGGATCCATCAGCCTAAAATTTATTTTGTCTTGTAGCGGCAGTATGTGACTTCAAGAGTGTGGGGTTACGGGGCCTGGGTTTGAATTCTTAACTAATTTGCTGGGTAACAGTGGATGGGATAATTGACACCTCTCTCTGTTCCCTCACCAGCAAGATGAATGTCAGAGAACCTCAGAGGTGTCAGGAGGATTACATAAACTTCTGCACATCAGGTGTTAGGCTAGCTCTGACACTTAGTAAGTGCTAAGCTAAGCACTAGCTGGTATTGTTTTTGTCATTATTGGCCAGTGTACCAGCTTATGCGTTTATACCATAAATTAGTTCTTTTGTTCTCTTCTGCTTTTTGTTTTTACAATCAGGCAGTCTTTGCATAACATTTTATTTTCTTTGTTCTGCAGAGACTTTTCTTGGTCTCCTGGTGGTAATATCATAGCCTTTTGGGTGCCTGAAGACAAAGATATTCCAGCCAGGGTAACCCTGATGCAGCTTCCTACCAGACAAGAGATCAGAGTTAGGAATCTGTTCAATGTCGTGGATTGCAAGCTACATTGGCAAAAAAATGGAGATTACTTGTGTGTTAAAGTAGACAGGACTCCAAAGGGTACCCAGGTGAGTGGAGGCCGGTGGGAACGGGTTGAACTAGCTACCGTTTTGTTTCGAGGATGTTAATAGGTTGTTTTGTTCTAATTTGTTATTTTCACATCCATCTGACACCAAAGTAGTTAGCTGGCGTGTCATAGCTAGGGCTGTTGTCACATTCTAACTGAGACGAGTAACTTGTTTTTTAAGAAAACTATTGGACAAGGTAGTACATTCACAGTGTGGAGTTCTCAAGGGAGTATGGTGACATTTTCTCTGGACACGCTGCTTATCCAGGCACCCAGCTGCCTTCCCAGTTGACAGTTAAAGTGAATGTATTATTTTCTTTTTAAACACGAAGAGTAGCATACTCTACATTTCTGTACCCTGCTTTTTTTGTTTTGTTTGCATCATTTAATATTCACCGTATCAAAAAAAATTGCCTGATTTTCCTTCTAATGGGAGTGTCTCCCTTCATTTTTTTCAACCTTTCAAAATGTACAGTTCAGTGGCTTTCAGTAGCTTCCCACAGTTGTGTAGCCATCACCACTGTCTAATTCCAGAACATTTTTATCATCACTAAAAGAAACTGTACCCGTTAGCAGTCACTCCCCATTTCTCACAGCTCCCTAGCTCCTGGCAGCCACTAATCTACTCTTCGCCTCTATGTGTTTGCCTGTTCTAGAGATTATGTATAAGATCGTACAGCATTTGTCGCATTGTGTCTGGTTTCTTTCACATAAACGTATCAGAAGTCTATTCCTTTTTATGGCTGGACAGTATTATATTGTGTGGATATGCCACATTTTGTGTATCCAGTTGAGGGACACTAGGATTTCCCCTTTTTAGGTATTATGAATATTATTGTACCCTGCTTTTTTGACACAAGAGTATATGTTGAAGATCATTTCATATATATAAAGAATTTCCTGTTCTTTTTTTCCTGGCTGCAGGACATTACACTACATTGAAATTTGTCTAATCAGTTCCCATTGGTGGACATTTAGATACTTCAGAACTTTTGCAAATAAGCTTAAATGAGTGTCCTTGTTCCTGTTTGTGTTTACGAGTATAACCTTAGGGCAATTTCTTTGGAGTAGAATTTGTGTCAAACAGTATATAGATAGCCAAATTGCTCTCCATGGAGGTTATACCAATTTATACCTCCATTAGCAGATTTGAGAGTGCTTGTTTCATCATGAGGGGTGTAATTTTAATCACTTCAAATATTCATATGCCTTGACTGTATACCAGGTGCATAAACTTAATCTTTCATTAAATTCTCAAGTTGTCCTTTGATTAAGTCTTTTTCTCATGCTTTCAATTCGTAGAATGTCACCCCATCTTACTTTTTTTTTTATAGGGTGTCGTCACAAATTTTGAAATTTTCCGAATGAGGGAAAAACAGGTACCTGTTGATGTGGTAGAAATGAAAGGCAAGTTTCATTTTGGTCATTTTATGGTTGGACCTGCCTTCTCTGTTCTTTCACATGTGGCTTTTAAACAGTGTGGATTTGTTGGCGTGAACAAAATGGTCAAGATTCTGAACCCTTAACTCCACTATGATCTTTTCATAAGTTTAGGTTTTTCTTCTGTTCTTTTCAGCTTCCATCTCTAACTTTTCTCTTGCTGAGTGAAGATGCCCCATACCTTTTTCTGTATAGTTAGGAGCAAGCACTCCAGTGGTCTTTCACACTCAGAGCAGAGAATGTACTAAGAATAGATTTTTATACACATTTCAGCCACAGGCAGCCAAAGCACTTTTCATCTTACATACAAGTAAAGGTTCTTAGCTTAATGGAGGGTTTTCCCCCTCTAAGGACGTACATCTGTTTTCGGTTGTTCCTTGTAAGAGTTTTTTGCTGTTTGCAGCGTATATTGTTTCTTTTTAATGGAAGAAAAACTATTTTACAAAGCTAATGTCATTTTATGTGCTTTAGGCCAGTGGTTTTGACTCAGCAATAACAGTTTTGTGCTGTGTCTTTGCCTCTAAGTTAGAAATTTAGCCTTTGTTTTTTGTTTGTTTCTTTAGCCAAGGAGAGAAAGGGAAGAGGAAGGTACAGAGATGAGAAACTGTGTATAAAACCTGACCACGCTGTCAGGGTAGAAAGACATCTTCAGGCCTCTATAAGGTCATCGAGTTTTGCTGGAAGCCTGACATTTAGCGTAACAAAGGTCATGTACCTAAGTGACACACAAGATGGGGCTCAGGGCTCTGTAGTCCTACTGTGTGGGTGACTGACGGGAGATGGGAAGGATTCTGGGTCTGTGGAGGATAGAATTTCAGGTGAATCATCACGCAAGCTGCTTTCACGCCATGTGGCAACGTGTGCCTTTTCCTGCCATTGCTTGCTGTGTGGTCCTTTTTAATGAATTTGAAGAATTTTGGGTGTATTTCTCTGGATGCGTGGTGAGAATTTTAACTGAGATCAGGAATGCTGTTTTCTTCAATGACTCAAGTTGGCACTAACCTCTTTTTTTTATGTGGTTGTTGATTATAGAGCCCATCATAGCCTTTGCTTGGGAGCCAAATGGAAGTAAGTTTGCTGTGCTCCATGGGGAGGCACCCCGGATATCAGTGTCTTTCTACCATGTAAAAAGTAATGGGAAGATCGAGCTCATCAGTAAGTAGACCTGCCCTGTCCTGGGTGCGGGTGGGCCTCCTTTCTTCTAACACCCTGGCAGGGTAATACGTCTTAGTCTCTGCTCCACATGGGATGTCTGACTTGCCTGGGGACAGCTGTTGAAGCCTGTATTCACATGGAAGTAAGGTCCTGTGGGTGTGAGCATACAGATGCAGGATGATGGCAGGGATGACATGGGGCACGCTGCAGCCATAGGGAACTCTGTCTACTCTGTGGGCTCTGCCAGGGCCTTTCGATGAGTGTGCTTCCAGGCTTCTGCACTCTTGTTTGCAGTATGGTCTTGTCTCTTCTTTTGGCTGTAGCTGCTGTCCCTAGGTGTAGGGGTCACCTCTCGGATATAGTCAGCCCCATCTTCTCTGCCTCCAGGCACACTGCAGAGCTGTTGCATACAGGTGTGTCCTGCCCGCGGGCACCCTGGTTCCAGTAGGGAATAGGAGCGGAAGCCCCAGCTGCACTCTGCTGCCCCTGGGTGGGTGCCTGTTCTACCCCCAACTCGTGTTGTAAGGCCGCCGGAGGCCCTGACCCTGCCTGTGCCTTTCCCATGACAGTACTGGCAGTGCTGGGCTGTATGATGTGTCTGCTTGCTTTTGTCCCAGGGCCCAGCCACGCTCTTTCAGGGCATCCTGCTTCTTACTCTCTCATCCTGTGTCCGTCTCGTCAGCCCAGTGCTGAGCAGGTGGAGGCTCTCGGTACATATTGGGGCACTGAACTAATGATCAGTGCTCTATATACACATTTTCCTTACTTGCATGGTCACTGCCAGGCAGTCAGGACCCCACACATCCTTGTCTTAGAGGCCAGGATGCTCAGCTGAGGCTCAGTGGGCTTCCAGAGAGAGATTGGTGGCATTTCTCTGTTTGCATTTGTTGTGCTGTGAAGATAATCATCACAGCTCCTCCTCCTTTCCCTCAGGGGTTTTGTGCCCTAACCCTTCCCTGGGTCTAGTGCGGGCTGAGACAGAAGACAGCCCAGATGGTTAACTTGTGTCTCACATGGCAAACAGATGTGCTGGGGCTTTAATCCTTGCTCGCCCTCCCCCCGCTCCCTGGCCCCTTCAGGAAGTGAGGAGTCAGGGTGTTTGGAAAGATGGTAAATGTATTAGATTTTCTACGTGCACGCACTAAAAAGACGTGTGAGTTACTGGAAGAATGGGTCTTAATCTTTGTTGGGCCACATATCTGAGACTGATGAAGCTATGGATCGTTTCTCTCCGGTTTAGCTAGAGTCCCTATAGTAATGAATATTGTAAGTAGAATTCTTGGTCCACTTACCTTGTGAAATAAATTGTTGTAAACAGTATCAAGATTTCAAAATATCCCTTGTCTTCCCCTTCACTTTATTTTAAAGTGTAGGTCATAACTTAAGATGTATATAAATTGTGGGATTTCTATCATTTCCTGCATAGACGGCACATGGTTCTGGTATGTATAGGGTTGTGGCTGACAGTCCATGGTCATGCAGACCTACCCCTTGGGGGCAGCATGCACTGCTGCCAAGATGTGGGACCATTCACATAAGACTTCTGTGGGTACTTTTTTTCTTTTCAGAAATGTTTGATAAACAGCAGGCAAATACTATCTTCTGGAGTCCCCAAGGACAGTTTGTTGTGTTGGCTGGTCTGAGGAGGTGGGTTTCTGCTATTTGACATTTGATCTGTTTGTTGTAAGTAGCTTTGTCTGCCTGCTGCTGCTGCTTCACAAGCAGCAGCTGACCCTGCTTCTCATCCTCTGCATTCTGCATGTGACCTGGTGTTCTCTCTCCCTGTGTCAACAAGATTATCCCAGTGTCAGTAGATGGGATGTGATCACACTGTAGAATGTCCCTCAAACTCCCAAGACTGAGACCAAGCCCAGGTGATTAAAATGATTGCTTGCAAATGCTTTCATTGTATGATCTAGAAGACATGTCTACATGTTGTAGTTCCTTTGTGGTTTAACAAGTGTCCTTCCTGGCAATCCACCACCCTGGTGTAAAATCCCATGACTTCTACCAGGAGAAAGATTTAATCAGACAGCTGTGAGACTGTCTTTACCTGTGTAGTTGGTGCAGCAATGAGGATGTAAGAATTTATTGTTTCCCTTGCTTCCCTGCTTAGTTACCATTCCAACAGAATGTGAAGAAACTTCTAATATTCTGCCTCTGAGTTAAAGGAATATCTTTCAGTTGCTTATTTCTCCTGCTTTATTGTAGACGCTTACTGTATCTTTGAGATAATATTTCCTGTAAAAACGATAACGGAATGTATAGTACTTATCATGTGCACATTACATATCTTAATTCAGTGAATCTCCACAGTGCCCCTAGGAGATTGTCACTACTACTATTTCTGTGTTAAAAAAGCAGCTGAGGTGAGGGGAGGGGTCATGCCTAAGGCCACATGGCCAGTCAGTGGGGGCTGGTTCCCCAGTCCATCTCTTAACCACCCCGCTAGACTGCTCTTCAAGAGATGGAAACACCAAGCGAAACCATGCATGTGAAATAAGGATGTTTACCTCCACAGTATGAACGGTGCCTTAGCATTTGTCGATACGTCTGACTGCACAGTGATGAACATAGCAGAGCACTACATGGCATCTGACGTCGAATGGGACCCTACGGGGCGCTATGTCATAACGTCTGTGTCCTGGTGGAGCCACAAGGTAGGAGACAGGTGCCCTCAGTCAGCAGTGGGAGGCAGGCAGGGGTGAGGCAGGGTGGCTCCTGTACCTGGCCTGGGGTGGCAGTTCCCTGTCCCCTCAGGCAAGGGGCACCAGTGTAGCACCTCTCTTCTCGTCCTCTGTTTTTTTTGTTTTTCTTCTCTTTTTTTACCCTTTCCAAGTGTTGACTACTGTATTTTAAACGGCAGCATGCCCCCATCCCATACCTCAGTCCTTCCGTCTCCATGTCAGGTGCCCACCACTTGAAAGTACTGGTCTGTAATAAGTAAGTTAAGATGCTTCCTTCATCGAGAAGGTCTTGCTAGGGAAAAAAAGTGTCAGCTGAACCACACGTGTAGTGATATAGTTAATTCTAGCACCAGGTCCTTGTCACAGACCAGTAGTAATCAAGCCCATGCTCTGGCTAGCCTGTTCTAGCATGCTGTATAACTTATTTGTTATGTTTTTTGTCTATAGACTGTCTTCCCCTCCTGAAATGTAAGCTCAGTGGAGGCACAAATCTTTGTTTTGTTTACTCGTATATCTCAGATATCTCTCTAGAACCAGGGCTTCGAACCATTTTGTTCTGGTTTGAACCCCCTGCTGAGCATTTGCATTTTCACCCCAGATGTACTGAGTAAGAGTCCACATTTTAAGAAGATCCTCAAAGTGATTCTTATATATGATAAATTTTGAGAACCACTGCTCTACTAGTGATTCTCAGAATTGATGCCTAACCAGCAGCATTAGCATTGCCTGGGAACTTGTTAGAAATGCAAATTCTCAGCAGGAGTTTGAACTGGCAGTGCCTAGATTGACAGATTATTGGCACTAAAACATCTGCTGAATGAAATACTTGATTTTGTTTGTTCTCCTGACAGTAAAGATTCCAGGTTCTCTGTCTTCCTGGAACTCACTGGAGTGTAATAGCTCCATTTTATCACTGCTTTCCTAGGTGGACAATGCTTACTGGCTGTGGACTTTCCAGGGACGACTTCTGCAGAAGAATAGCAAAGACCGCTTCTGCCAGTTGTTGTGGCGACCTCGGCCTCCCACGCTCCTCAGCCAGGATCAGATCAAGGTCAGGCTAGGGGCGTGCAGGTGGTAGTGGCACTGAAAAGAAGAAGCAAGCTGTGTTATTGTTAGGGTGATAACGAGTGAGGACTTTAGGAGAGGGACTTACAGGGGACCCTTTGAAGAGATGCCAGAGCAGTAATAACTAAATGGGAAAGAAACAGTTATAGGATAGTAAACGTACATTTCTAGGCTGTATCAATACCATCCCAGGAAGTTTTGCTGCTAAATATCCTGCTGGAATGAGCAGAAACATAGCTGTGGGATTTACATAATTGTTGATATAAGCTGATGGTATTACAAGCTGAGAAAAGCGTGTCAATCCCAGGAAAGAAAGTCTGTCTGGATAAAGTGCAGACTCACAGAAAAGATGCAGTATTGAGTGCTCCAGGAGGCAGAGTTCTCTTAATCACTGAGGTCATCATTTCATGTCAGCAACTTCGAAGGTTGTGTCTGTGGTTCTCGCTTTCAGTGTTTAAATCCCGAGTGTCTTGTCTTTGTTTCAGCAAATTAAAAAGGACCTGAAGAAATACTCCAAGATCTTTGAGCAGAAGGATCGTTTGAGCCAATCCAAAGCCTCAAAGGTAAGCCTTGTTTCCAGGGCCATGGGAGGGCTGAAGGCCTCACAGCCATGCTCTGTGGTAAGAAGGACAGTGGGAGGGAGGCCGTGTGTCTGCTCGGGGGAAGCAGGGGACCTTGTTATACAGCAGACATGGAGCCACATGGTTCTTCTGTGTGCTGGAGGTAGACCAGCAACTAAAGAGTTCTGTGCCCTGGAGGGGACTCGGAGCCTGGCGTACTGCAGCCTGACGGGATGGCAGGTGCTTCAGAACCAGAAACGGGCAGTGTTAAAGGAGGAAAAAAGGAAAACAAACCTATTATCCTGCCATCCTAAGGTTCTTTTTTTATTAAATAAAATTGTTCTTACATTATCAGATTAGGTGGGGGTCACTTGGCAAGTTATTTTCACTTTCATTAGGCAAAAACTCGATGATGGTAAGTTCAGTATTAGTTTTGTGATGTTTCCCCTAACTTTGTAGGAATTGGTGGAGAGAAGGCGAACCATGATGGAAGATTTCCGGAAATACCGGAAGATGGCCCAAGAACTCTACATGGAGCAGAAAAATGAACGTTTGGAGTTGCGAGGAGGTAACTTCAGTGGTGGAGCCCCTGGGTGGCATACACAGTTAAGCACTGGAGTACTAGTCGAAAGGTTGGTGGTTTGAACCCACCCAGGGGCACTTCGGAAGAGAGGCATGGTGATCTGCTTCCAAAAGGTCACAGCCCTGAACACCCTGTGGAGCACAGTTCTACTCTGCACACAAGGGGTCGCCATGAGTCAGAATAGACTCCAACTTTAGGAGCAGAAAATAGATTTTTTTATAGCATACATAAGTTTGGATATTTTTCTCTTTTTATATCTGTATTGAAATTTCCCAAGTTTTTTGGTAAACATCAAGTGTTGTCTAGAGGTTCTTGAATCATCAAAGAATTGAGAAGTTTCCCATCACCTACTGGTTCAAGTTCATATTCCTTAGCACAGGATCTGGCTGTTTCCTTTTCAGACTCTTGGCTGCTTCCATAGAATATGTTTGTCTGTGTATGTGTTCTAGAAGATTGAAATTAACCTCACACAGCCATCAACACAGAGAGCCCTGGTGGCACAATGGTTAAGCGCTTGGCTGCTAGCTGAAAGGTTGATGGTTCATACCCACTCGGCAGCTCCACGGGAGAAAGACCCAGTGATCTGCTCCCATAAAGATTGTAGCCTAGGAAACCCTGCGGGGCAGTTCTGCTTTGTCACATGGAGTCGCTGTGAGTCAGAATCGACTTGATGGCACACAACAATAACACCAACACAGTTGTCACTAAGCATCTCCTGCCCTGTCTCAACCTCTGTCTTTCTCTGTAGGCGTGGACACCGATGAATTAGATAGCAATGTTGACGACTGGGAGGAGGAGACCATTGAGTTTTTTGTCACTGAAGAAATTATTCCCCTTGGAAACCAGGAGTGATCTGAAAGCACTGTGGTAAGACCATTCTTATACTGGTCAAGAACGGTTCTTACCCTGTTGGTCAGTTTTTCTTTCCTTTTCTGCCATTCCCATCCACTGGAAAGAATGTCGTATAAGGTAATAATAAAAATCCAGATTTATGTGCTCAGGGGAATGTAGAGTGTAGATTCAGGAGAGTTGGCAGAGCTCCTTGTGCAAAAGCTGCTGGGCTCGGGCTCCATGTTGCGGAGATGGCTGTCGCTCCACGCAGCATTTGGTTAGGAGTGAGACACGGCCAGGGTAGACGCCAGGTGGGTGGTATGAAGTCCTGGGGAGGGGGGCAGTGTTCTCCAAAAAGGAAGGAGGCCTCACCAGCCCTGGCTACAGTGTTGGTCAGTCACTGGTCTGTTTTGAGAGCCACCTGCATCTGGTCAGGTGTGGCCAAGAACTCAGAAACTTGGGATTCAGGGTCTTCAGTACTGGAGAAAGGATCTAGAGACCCTGCACCTGGAAAAGCTAACAGGTGTGTGGGGATGGTAGTTTTGTGCCACTGGGTAACGTGGGGGCTGTTTGGGCACTGCCTGGTTACAGAGAGGCTCACAGTGGCTTCAGGGGGTTGTGATCCCTGCAGGCTGCCGGTCGTCACAGGACGGGGCGTTGTGACGGCTCTTGCTTCAGGCTGAAGTGAGTCCTCAGATGGTACAGTCTGTGGTTGCCGTGTCTGCGCCTCACGGGATGGAGCTCTGCTGCTTGTCCTCACTGTCGAGTTACAGAACTCAGAGTAAACAGCTGTTCTTTGTTGCAGTGTCACCTCATCTCATGCTGGAATCAAGTTCATCCTCTTGCAGAGAGCCTACACAGCTCCTGAATTTTACCTGTGCTTTCTCTCGCTGTCTGGACTGAGAACGCACCTGGGATTCTTCCATCTGGACACACTTCTGTGCCTTCAACCCCTGGTGTCCACAGTGGGGGAGGTTTCAAGGCACCGCTTTAAAATTTTTCTTGTTTAGGCTTTTTTTTTTTAAATTCATTACCACCAGTATCTGCTACCTAGACTCTTACGCAGTGCTGCGGCAGGTAGCTTTTCACTGCCGCTGCTGGTGGCACTCTGAGGCTTGTCACCAACACGAACGATGTCTTTGTTCACGAACTCTCTCACTGTTGTCCCCGGTGCACGGGCTGGTGCCTGGGGTGTCCTGAGAAAAACCATGAGGAGCGCCACGCACCGACCGTGTCCTAGAGTGCTCAGGAGGCACTACAGCGCGTTGTACCCCCCGCCCTTCAGATTGTGCGGGTTGTCACAGCAGGCTGAATGCAGAATAAAGCAAACCTGTGTGAAAACGCTCTCTCTCTCCTGGCCTTGAATCCATGCCTCTGACTCCCCCCGCTCAGTAGTAGTGGTCCGTGCAGCCCCTCACACACTCACACTTGGCTTGGGATCTCACCAACCGGCTCCGCTAGGCACTTGGGCTGATTAGTCCAAGAAACGATCCACTATTTCTTACTGTATATTCTATGAAAAATGCTCATCATTTCCTCTGATGAGAAGTCTTATGCTTTTCTTTAGAGTTACACAAGTTTGAAAATTTTAATTGGGAGTTGCATTTTAGCCACTGTTGTGTGGTTCCTTTTAAATATTCTTTTTCTCCACTGAAAAGGGAGTGAACAAATCCTCATAATGCAGTCTGGTTTTTATTGGCAATGTCTCATTACCCGTCCGTGCCTTGTGACACTGTGGCCTCTTCCGCCTCTTTTTCTCTCCTGTAATCTGAAGTTTAGTTTATAAAGCAGTGAAGCACTTACTGGGCAAACTCGGACTTCACAGCCCAACAGCATCAGCAGACCTGAGCAGTTCTTTGAGATTGGAGAATGTGCTGTGCTCTGTAGGGCAGAAAACAGGCAAGATGCCTGCCCAGGATGCTGAGTCGCCTAGTGGGGGAGAATCACGAGTCTGTGGGTTCCATGTGGATCTGAGTCCCCCGGGTGTGTGGAAGGAACTTGGTGCTTTTTCTTTCTCGTGAGCCTTAAATCTCGCCGTCATCTGTGATTCCTATAAAAAGCTTTCATTGTTACAGGCCTGCTGAGGAGTCCCTCCTCTGGCTCCTCCAGTGCACATTTTCTTTGGCACCCTGGTTTCCTCGTGCTCTTTATCTTTAAGCTTCGGTGTGCCAACCCAGTCCTGTTGTTTCATGGTGGCATGTAGTTCTATCCTTTTAAACAGATTTTTAACAGAGCCTTCGAAAAGCTGGCATCTCATTGTTTTAAACTTGCTAGCTGTAATTGTTTTACATGATTTGTAAATAAAAGACTTTCTGAAACATTTGTGCTCGCTTTACTGAACCCTCTCCTGCTGCAGAAGTGGATTTCACGGGGCCTGCCTCTTGTAGGGAGAGTGTCCGCCATCTCCCGAGTGGGGACACAGAGTGCAATGGTGGTGCTCTTCAGTCTTGGGGTGATGGGCTAGGCGCCAGGCCCCCGCCCGTGGTGCAGGCTGCTCCTTGTGTGTCTCTAGGAGTCAAGAGTATTTGTCCTTTTAAGTTACAATTCGTAGACCTGGGTTCTCCAAGCAAGTCCCTTGAAGGTGAGGGGCCTAAGCCTTGGAATCAGTTAAAGGAAAGGGGTGTAGATGTTGGAGGTGTGCTTTTCCTACCCTCCACGCCTCATTCACTTGGCGAGGATTTCCTGGAACTCACATTGACCTGGACACCAAAGGAGGATAGATGAATGTAATCACAGCCCCTGCCCTCACAGAACTAAACCACCATGTCATGTGCCGTCAAGCTGATTCTAACTCATGGCAACCTCGTGTGTGCAGAGTAGAACTGTTCTGTAGGGTTTTCATGGCTGTGACTTTTCAGAAGCAGATCACAAGGCCTGTCTTCTGGGGTGCTTCTGGGTGGGTTTGGACTGGTAACCTTTTGGCTGGTAGTCGAGCGCTCAACCATTTGTGCCACCCAGGAACTCCCAAACTAACATAAGGTAGGTTTAAAAATACAAAACCCTATCATAGGTGGTTTGACAGCTGTTGGTGCCCCTGAGAGAGTCACTTAATCCAAGGCTCAGCCTCATCTTCTCAGCTGTGTGGTCGGAGCCATTTTAAGTTAGGTTTTTCAGATGTGAACTGCCTGGGTCCAGTGTGTGGTTTGTGTCAGTGCAGGAGCAGTTTACACGCTTGCACGTGAAGGTGCTCTGTGGCTCATGGTTTGGGAGGTGTGGTCTGCTTTGGTTTTATACAGCGCAGTACTATGCTTTCCCTTGAGACTAGTGGAAAAGCTAAGTGCAGCATTTGAATGGCAAATACCCCTGGTTGTTAATCCAAGTGAAGCCCTGGTGCTGAGCAAACTGGCAGCATGAAGGAAAGGGGCTCAAGTCCACTCTAATGTGTTGGAAATATGAAGGTCACTTCAAGCTGTCTTTATTCTGACTTGACTTCATTAAGCCTAGCTGCCCTTTGGAGATTGCTGTCCCTGCTCAGGGCAGTGGGCAAGTGCCACGCTTGGGCCTTCTCTTCCGTGGTTACCCCTTGGCCCTCTCCTGGGCTCAGTGGGAGAGGAGAGTAGACGTGCCCCTCCCACTCAGGCAGGCTCACCTGAGATCAGGTGAGCGCCATGGAAACCTCGCGGGTTGCTGAGGGACTGGATGAGCTAGTCGACCAAAGGCTGGAATGGTGCCCAGCGCTCAGTCCCTCGTGTGCAAGCACCACCAGAGGGGCTGCCTGGTAGGTTGGCAGTGCTCACTGTAGGCTGAGAGTAGAAGAGCAAGGCTGCGGGTGCTTTACACACTGTAGCGTGCAGGCTAATCCGGCTCCCAGAGCTGGCTGATGTCACCTGGGTGGGGTGTGACACAGCCACTCTCCTGTTGCCCAGCTCCGCCTGGAGAGCAGGGCGCATCCACACCAAGCCAGCCACATGCCCTCCCCAGCCCAGGGCAGCCCAGCCATGCGGGAGATTGCCACTGCCGAGCCCAAGGACCAGCAGTTCGTGGTGAGTACCCTGCACCAGTGGGTGGCCTCCTCCCTGCTCCTCACTCCCCTAATCCCACGTAGTCCAGCCTTTGCTCCTAACCCAGGGGACCCCATGCTCCCCACTTCCCCTCATTAGGACCTTGCCAACCACCTGCTTCTCACCCTACTCCTCACCTTACCACCTTACCCGTGGAACTCCACTGCCCCTGCCCCTGGCCAAATCCCTGGGTGGTGCAGGCAGTTAGCACACTCACAGCTGCTAACCAAAAGGTTTGAGTCCACCCAGAGGACCCTTGGAAGAAAGGCTTGGTGATTTACTTTCGAAAAACCAGCCATTGAAAACCCTATGGAGCCCAGTTCTACTCTGACACACATGGGGTCACTGTGAGTAGGAATCGACTCCACAGCATACTAGTTGGTCTTTTTTTTTTTTTTTTTTTCGCCCCTGCCCAATTTGGCCCAGGCCTTTTCTGTGGCTGAGGAATTTGGGGGGAGGCAGGGTAGTCAGGCCCATCCATTGGTGAACTCAGAACCTCAGTCCATTTTACAGCTGGGGGAGCTGAGGCCAAGGACTTGCCCCACCTTTCCTAGTCGTGACTGGCCCTAGGAGAATCAGCTCCTGTTTCTACGGAGAATGCAGGAGAGGGTAGTGGCTACACCAACCTGCTCGAGGCCCACAACTCCTGAGTAGTTAAGGTGGACTCAAAGCCTGGGACCGATCTGACCCCAAGGCCACTGGCCAGAGCGTCCCCTTAGAATTGGGGAGGCAGAGAAGGCATGAAGAGCTGAGCTCCTGAAGTCCACACCTAGGACATGAGTGGATGCCCACTGCCTTCAGGAGGGCTGGGGCTCCGCTCAGGCCCTTCTGCTGTTGGCTCCCATGGCTGTAAGAGGGCAGCTGTGTGGCCTCAGGCAAGTTACTACTCTTCTCTGTTCGTCAGTCCCCCTATCTGTCCAACGAGGGTAATTGTAATCCTGGAGTTATCCTCAGAGCCTTACGGTGAGCCCAGCTCAGTGCCCTTCACTACTTCACCAAGAGTGAGAAGCTGTCAGGAGGAGGATGAGGGACAGTTTGGCTGGGGACTGCTCCTTGGTGGAGTCCCTTGGAACACAACAGCTGTGGTGTCCCACCCATAGGTAGCCCTTCGAATCCGCCCTCTCAATGATGCAGAGCTGGAGGAAGGAGCCACCATTATTGCTCACAAAGTAGGAGATCAGGTGAGGCTGCTGGAGGCACGGGGGGTTGGGGGCGCATCCCATCCCAGTGTCTCTGAGGCTGCCGGATTGTTCCCAGGCCTAACATTACTTTCTGTATAACAGAGACATGCCCTGCTGCATGTGTTACCCGTATTACTCCATCCGTTCATTCATTTATTCAGGCATTCAATAAATATTAGTGCTTTTAGGTGACGGGCACTGATCCAGATTCTCAGTTCAAGCAGTGAATGTGACAGACCAGGCCAGCCCCCATCAAGCTCACTCTCTATGGGGTGGGGGGACAATGAACAGATAGAGGGAGTTAAGTACCATGGGGGAAAAGCAGGCAGAGAAAGGGGTGTCCGGGAAGGCCTCTGATAAGACAAAGGAAATGGGGGAAGTCAGGCGGGATCTAGACTGAAGGAAGAGCTGGTGCACAGCCCTGAAGCAGGAGAGGGTTTGGAGGAGGGTGAGCAGTGTGCGTAGCCTGCTCTAGAAAGCTGCAGTTTTGGAAAGGGCCCAGGTGGCCCTGCTGCCCAGCAGGTAGGGAGCCCAGCATGCCACACATTGCCGAGGATTTCCACATCTTGGAAACAGGTTCAGAAGCTGAGCTGTCAGTAGTTTAGAGAGTTTTGTCTCTAATGTACTCATGAGCTAAAATAAATGCCAAGTTTCGAGTAGAACAAAATGCCAAGTGAATTGGGTCTTCCATTGGTTATTAGAAAGGTAGCTTTCGTGAGAAAAGAGACGTGGCTCTGAGGAATAAGTGCACTTACAGGCAAGGAATCCAGGAGGCATCGATTCCATTCTTCCATTTGTGCAACTGTTCTCACCTTCCTTTTCTGAATTTTTCCTCTCCCAGTAACATAAACTCACTGTCCCCTAAGCTTCCTATCTAACTTTTTGAATTGCTGTTGTCAGTTTGATCCCAGATAGCTAGATCTTAAAAGAGCTTAATGCTCAAGGCCAGGCATTCTTTACTAGTTATGCTAAACCATTGTTTGGTTTTAAGAACACATCAGGGGATATTTTTGGTTTAAGGTTTAAAGATTGTCTCAGGGCAATAGTTTCAAGGGTTCATCCAGCCACCTTGGCTCTGGGAAGTCTCATGGCAAAGGAGGCAGTTGTTCATGGAGACAATTGGACACGCATTCCATTTCCCATTCCTATTCCCAACTCTCCCTCTTCCTCTGAGTTTAGCTAGTCTTAATGTGGAAACGCAACTCATGCTGTGCCCACCCGGGGCGGCTGAGGATGAGAGCAGAGACCTCGCAAATGAAAACTGCAGCACACAATCGTGTGCATGCTCTTTGGGGGCATGGCGATGAAACCCGAAGAATCTGCTAAAGGAGTTGGAGGAGGAGAAAGCGGGGGGAGGGGCAGGGACTGCTGTTTCATAGCAAGCTTTGCAGAAGTCTTGGCTGTTTATACTGTGTGCATGTGTTTTTGGCTGCTGTCTAGTTGGCCCCTGACTCGTGGTGACCCTGTGCACAACGGAACCGGACTGTTGTGATCCGTAGGGTTTTCACTGGCTGATGTTTTTGGAAGTAGATCGCCTTTCTTCCTAGCCTATCTTAGTCTGGAAGCCCCGCTGAAACCTGTTCAGCATCGTAGCAACACACAAGCCTCCACTGCCAGACGGGTGGTGGCTGTACATAAGGTGCATTGGCCAGGAATCGAACCTGGGTCTCCCTTGTGGAAGGTGAGAATTCTAACACTGAATCACTATTCAGCTCTATGTGCATGTGTTACTGATAAAAAAATAACTGGAGTTACAAGAAGAAGGGAGTACCCTTTTAAAATGACTTATAAGGCAAATAATATTTTTGCTGGAATCGATGGTAACTCAAAATAGTATGAGTAATCTCCAGAGCCTTGGGCACTTTGTCCATTGTGGGCTGACTGACCTCCCTGGGAGTTTCCTGGTTTACCTGGTGCCTTTTTGCAGTATCTGTTAACAGGAGGCTTTAGCTGCCCTCACACAGTGGATCAGAATGACCCTCTTTTGTCTTGTCTCCTGCTGTTTGCCTGGCCACACAGCTAGGAGGTAACCTCTCACACCCGAAAACAGTCATCACGTGTAGGTGACCATTGGGTCCCCGTCATAGGCAGCTCTGTGGACATCTCTCCTGGGGTCCAGTCATTTGGGACCTACTTGGAGTTTGGTCTTCAGGCATCCAGCAGCTCAAGAAGTATCTAGAATAGCAACAGTCTGGTGGCAGAGGCTGCCCAGTTGTTCCTTAAGTTCAGGCTGCCTTTCTCTTCAGAGTGAGCATTTCCCCCATGTTCCCTGGCTTTGGGGACTTTGTGACTTCCAGGAAAAAGGCCACTCCTGGATTTCATTGGGGAAGGGCTTGGGTTGGAGGGAATTGAACCACAAAACAAGGGCAGAAAACTGGATATCTAAGAACAGAACATTGTTCTAGCAACCTGGAACTTCAGAAATCCCAGCACTGGGCACTTTTTTTTTTTTGAATTGTACTTTTTTTAAAATTGTGCTTCAGGTGAAAGTTTACAGTTCAAGTCAGTTTCTTATACAAAAATTTATATACACATTAGTATGTGACCGTAGCTGCTCTCCCTTTAATGTGACAGCACACTCCTCCTTTCCACCCCGGATTTCCCGTGTCCATTCAACCATCTCTGCCCCTGTTTACCTTCTCATCTCGCCTCTGGACAGGAGCTACCCATTTAGTCTCATGTATCTACCTGAGCTAAGAAGCACTCTCTTCATGAGTATCATTTTATGTCCCATAGTCCAGTCTAATCTTTGTCTGAAGAGTTGGCTCTGGGAATGGTTTTTCTGGGCTAATGGAGAGTCCTGGGGCCATGCTTTCTGGGGTCCCTCCAGTCTTAGTCAGACCATTAAGTCTGGTGTTTTTACTAGAATTTGAGTTCTGCACCCCACTTTTCTACTGCTCCGTAAGGGACTCTGTTGTGTTCCCTGTCAGGGCAGTCATTGGTGGTAGCCGGGCACCATCTAGTTCTTCTGGTCTCAGGCTGATGGAATCTCTGGTTTATGTGGCCCTTTCTGTCTCATGGGCTAATATTTTCCTTGTGTCTTTGGTGTTCTTCGTTCTCCTTTGGTCCAGGTGGGTTGGGACCAATTGATGCATCTTAGATGGCCACTTGCTGGCTTTTAAGACCCCAGACGCCACTCACCAAAGTGGGATGTAGAACATTTTCTTAATAAACTTTGTTATGCACTGGGCACTTTTGAAGTCTTGAGGGGTACTGGGAGCGGGAAGTGTGCCTAGCAGAGGAGTGCTTCAAAACCAAGTGGGGACTTGGGGTGCAGGTGCCCTTCCAACCCTCTCTAACCACCATTCCTTCCCTTCCCCTGGTCGTGTCTGCATCCGCATGTGGTCTCCCCTTCTGGGCATGTGGGCAGGGGCTGACTCAGAACCATTCTAGAGCCCCCCTAGGGCCTGGCTCCCAAGGTTGCCTTGCTGTGCTCCGAACAACAGGCACAGTTCCCGTTTTCTTTTCACTTGTTATTTTGATGTCAGTTTAGACTCATTGAAAAGTTGCAAGAATAGTACAGGAAGCTCCCATATCCCCTCCACCCACATTCCCCAATGGTTGACATTCCCCTCATTTGCTTTATCCTTCTTGCTCCCTGTATACATGTGCTACTCTTTCTGAACCAGGTGAGAGTCAGTTGTGGCCACGATGCCCACTACACCTCAACATCTTCCTGTGTCTTTCTTAAAAACAACAACATCCTCCCTCATATGACCTCAGTACAGTGATCAAAATCAGGGACGCATTAAACAGTATACTCTTTTAAAGAACTATATGGGATCAAATTGACAACACAACTCAGAAGGATAGATGAGAAGCTTAGGGAGGCAGTGAGTTTGTATTAATGGGTGAAATAGTTTGGAAAAGGTTGTTGAGAAAGGTGGTACAACTTGAAGATTGCAATCAAAGTCACCGAATCGTACTTGTGGAAATTGTTGAAACGGTGTATGTTTTATTACGTATATTTTCACCACAAAAAAATTAAAAATCAGGAAGTTGATATAAAATTATTTAATCTACAGATTTACTCAGCTTTTGCTGATTTTTCTTAAATTCTTTTTAAATAGTGTTCTTTATAAGAAAAGAAAAAAAATTTTTTTTCTGGTCAAAGATCCAATCAGCTGACATTTTGTGGACACTGAACACTGAGCTCTGTATCTCGTTACTCCCTCCCAGCTGCCTTAGTGTGTGGGTTCTACAAGCACCCCCATTTTACACTTGAGAACACTGAGGCTCAGAGAGTTGGGGAGATTGTCCAAGGCCTCTGGACTGGTGAGCAGGAAAGCTGGGATTTGAAACCAGGCTGAGGGGCTCTGAAGCCTGATTTGTAACTGCCAGGCTTACTCTCCCAGTGCTAGGCTGGGAGCCCACTGGCCAAAGACCTGTCCGATTCATTCCTGCAGCCCAGTTGCCCCTCGAGCACACATCCACATGGACTATGTGGGAGGGGGGTTGCCCTAAACCATCCCATCCTTTGATCCTCTCCATCTTGGGAAGGAGAGGATAAGCATGAAGGAAAGAAGTGTTTTCTTACATCATGGAAAAAGTGCTGGCCAGAAGCCAGGTTTGGCCCGGGGGCCTGGTCCCAACTCTGCCCCTTACTCCCCCAGGCCCCTGGGCAGCCTCATCTCCCGGGACCCAGTTTCCAAAGCTGTGAGCCATGGAAGGGGTCTGCAGGGGTGGCCGGCTGGCAGGGCTCTTGACTCTCTCAGTGGTGCTGCCCCTAAAACCCCGTGATCCCCTGGTGCCCCAGCAGGCCTGGAGGGGCACGGTGAGCCCCAACTCCCCCACCACCCTCACCAGAGTAAACAGTCAGGGCCTGGCTGGTCTCTAATTGCCCTGCCCCTCCCTTCCCACTGCCCCTGGGAAGGGTGCCTTTGAACTCCCCTTTCCCCAGAGACCCTAATACACTTTCCTTCATAATTACGTTTTTACAGGAGCTAAGAGACACCCCGGAGGCTACCGAGGTGCTTGGAGAAAGCAGGCTAGAGGGTAGGGTGGGTCCTTTATTTTTATTGTGGTAAAAGTGTATAAAAACATTTGCCAGTTCAGCATCTTTTACATGTACAATTCAGTGACACTGATTACATTCATCATGTTATTCAACCATCATCACTATCTGTTTCCCAATTATCCTGCCTCCATGAACAGAATCTCACTGACCCTAAGCAATCACTTCCCCTCTCTCCTCCCTCCCCCAGTCCCTGGTAACCAATAATCTGCTTTGGTCCCTATGCATTTACTTACTCTAGATATTTCATGTAGGTGGAATCATATAGTATTTGCTCTTTTGTGTCTGGCTTATTTCACTTGGCATCGTGTTTTTAAGGCTTACCCATGTTGTGGCATGTACCAGAACTTCATTTCTCTTCATGGCAGAGTAATATTCCATTGCTGGATGGACCACATTGTGTTTATCCATCATCTGTTGATGGACACTTGGGTTGTTTCTACCTTCTGCCTATTGTGAATAGTGCTGCTATGAACACTGGTGTACACGTATCTGTCTGAGTCCCTGTTTGGGGGATATACAATAAAACCTGCAAAAGTTGGAACTTGTGTCAGAGAAAGATAACAAATAGTTTCTACTAATAGAGAGCCATACAAAAGTAGTAAGACTCACCCTGTCAAAGGTGGAGAACTTGTGAGACCTGGAACAACAAGGCAGTCCCATCAAGTTATGGCTCTCACAGGTTTCACTGTACCTAGGTGTGGGATTGCAGGGTCATATGGTAATTCTGTGTTTAACTCTTTGAGCATGGGTGGGTCCTTTTGTTCTCTACGTGTACATGGACACCCTTCCCCTCCCCCTCCCCTTTCTTTTTCTGGCTCGACCCCCTGCGCAAGGGGCAAGGTCGGGCCACATGAGGAGAGCGTATGGCATGCATGGTTAGCTTAGTACTTTACAGCTTACAAAGCCCCTTCCCATCCCATTCTGCTAGCTTGTTGTCTTAGGCATCTAGGGCTGCTATAACAGAAATACCACAAGTGGATGGCTTTAACAAAGATAAGTTTATCTCCTCACAGTAAAGTAGGCTAAAAGTCCAAATTCAGGGCATTAGCTCCAGGGGAAGGCTTTCTCTCTCTTTCGGCCTTCTTATCAGTGTTCCCCCGATCGAGGAGCTTCTCCGGGCAGGGACCCCAGGTCCAAAGGATGCGCTCTGCTCCTGGCACTGCTTTCTTGGTGGTATGAGGTCCCCCTGTCTCTCTGCTCTCTTCTCCCTTATATCTCAAGAGATTGACTCAGGACACAATCCAATCTTGTAGACTGAGTCCTGCCTTACTAACACAACTGCCAGCCATCCCCCCTCATTAACATCATAGAGACAGGATTTACAACATACAGGAAAATCACACAATACCAGGAATCATAGCCCAGCCAAATAAATACACACATTTTTTGGGGGACATAATTCAGTCCATGACAGTTGTCAAAGACCTTGTAACTGGAAGGTGTGAGGCAGGGCTGCTGATGCTGCTGTGTGGTTGCTAGGAGGGGTTGTTCAGAAGTCCACAGAACCCAAGTGTGCCTGGTTATTAACAGGGATGCTGGTGGTGGTTATTGGGAGCAAGTGTGTGCGGTGTCCGGTTGCAATGTGGAACAAGGCCTGGGCGTTTTCAGTCGTACCCTTGGAAAAGAGAGAGTGGGTACAGAGCCCACCAAGATCCCTCCCGGCTTGAGCATAGAGGCTTCCAGTCTCCAGGGGTTGCTGAAGGAGATGCCAGGCAGAGTGGGTCCTTGGAGGGGTGCTGACCTGGACAGGGGTCTCCCATGCTGACCCCTCTTACTCTTTACTCCAAGATGGTGGTGCTCATGGACCCCAGTGAGGACCCCGAGGACATGCTGCGCACCCACCGGTCCCGGGAGAAGACTTTCATATTTGACACAGTTTTTGACCAGCACGCATCCCAGGTGCCTTCCCCACCCCTCCCTGACCCCACTGTCCCCCTGTTGGGCCAGGCCAGCCATGGGTGTATTTACAGAACCCTGGAGCCTCCTTCGGGGAGACCTGGTGGCTGGGTGGTCTTATCCAAGTCTCACAAATGTGTTGTGGGGCAGAAGACCCAGGCCTGAGCCTTGGGTCATCCAAGTGGATAGCAGCAGTAGGCACCTTCCATGGATGTGGTGGCCACCAGGAGCTGGGCCGGCTGGGGCTTTACACATGCTCTCCTTTGTTCATGCATTCATTCAACAAAGTGGCACCATGACCACCATGTGGGAGGAACATAGTCCCTACCTGAAGGGGCTTATTCTCGAGCAAGGGAAACAGACAGTGGGCAAGCAGAGAAACAATCTCGGAAGTGCACATTGTTATAGGTGCTGTTGCAGGGAATCTCAAGGCACAGGCGGTGAGGGAAGGCCTTCACGGGGATGGGGCATTAAACTGAGGCCTGACGCAGGAATAAGCCAGCGTGAGAGGGAGTGGAGGGGCTCCTGGTGGAGGTGTTATCACCCCCATTTGACAGATGAAGAGCCTGAGGCTTGGGGAGGTCATGCAGTGAGGGCCAGGGCTGCATTTGGACCCAGTGTTGTTCCCACTGTTTCTAGTCCCTCATGTCATCATACCTTTGACTAAGGGCAACGCTGTCTAACCTGTCATCTGGGAGACGAGGCCTTGCTGCTCCACTTCACAGTGGTGTCGGGTGGAATGGGGTTTGAAGCTACATCTCCTGAAGCGGGAAGTCCAGGACAATGACATGTGGGGATGTTTAGCTTCAGGGCAAAGCCCAGTGAAGGACGCAGGGCTCCATGCTCATGCCAGCCCCTGCACTCAGATGATGTTCTGTCCCACTGTGAAGAGCCAGGGACTCCCCTTGCACAGTCCACCAAACCTTCAACCCCCAGAAACCACAGGCCCCCAGTTGTGTGCAGTTCTCTTCTAGTTACCTGTTTCTGCAAAACAAATCGCCACAAAGCATAGTGGATTAGAACAACAATGTATTCTTATCGCTCATGTTGCTTAATGACGATCAGTTGGGCAGCCTCTCCGGCAATTGCAGTCAAATGTCAGCTGAAGGCTGCACTGGTCCACCTACTTGGCTCTCAGTTTATTCTGTCTTTATTTTGGAGTTCTACTGGTGCTGGACCCACCTCTCCAGGTAGCTTGGCTTCCTTGCAACATGGCCTCAGGGAAGTCGGACTTGGCTCAGAGCTCCAAGAGAGCGAAGTGGACTCTTCAGGCTTGTCCCAGACCTGACCTGGCTTTGCTTCTGCTGTGCTTTACTGGTCAAGCAAGTCACTCAGACTGGCCCAGGTTGAAGGGGAGGGGACTTAGACTCAGCATCCCGGTGGGAAGAGTAGCAAAGAATCTGTGGCCATCTTTCAGCTACCCACCTTTTTCTTCACTGCTCCCCTAGTCCTCTCACGTCTGTCCAGTGGACTCTGGCAGCTGAATTCACCTGAATGGCATTTCAGGAAGGAGGCTGCATGTGCTGAATGGACCTGCTTAGAACACTGTGGCCCCTGTCAGTACTAGGAAATTCCCCCTGGATTCAGGGCTGAGCCATAATCACAAACCAGAATAGGTTTGCTCAGCCGTAGCAGTTCCGAAGACCTCTTTTTTCCCCAGCCTCCAATGTAGCCACATTTTCATGGCATTAAAAACAGAAGATCATTAGCATTTATTGAGCAGCTACTGCATGCCAGGGACTCTGCTCAAGCACTTGGCATGCACTGTCTTACCATCTTCACAGTAACCCTATAAAATATGTGATCATATGGTCCCTATTTTACAGGTGAGGAAACTGAGGCTTCAGGAGGGTAGTAACTTGCCTGAGGTCACACGGCTTTAGAGTTGCAAAACCAGGATTCAGTCCCACACTGTGCAAGTCCAAAGCTAGAGGAAGCAGGGCAGCATTGTGCTGAGAGCACTGGCTTCAGAGTCTGTCCAACTGGGCCTCCAATGCTGTCTCTACACCCTCTGAGCTATGTAACTAGCCAGGGATACTGGGAAAGTTAAAAGAGGTAACCACTAGGGCCCATAGATGCAGTGGAAGTGGGGACTCTCATTCCCCAGCCCTGGATGTGTTGGTCAAGCCTTTTTTGCTTTGAATGCTTCTGTGAACAAGGAGCTCACTGTCACACGCATACTCATTGCTATATATTGCTGCTTTATAGCAAATTCTGCTGGCCTGAAATTTTCACCTCCTAGTCCTAGTTTTGTCCCCTACAAAGGACACAGATTTCCAAACCCTGTTGTTACCTCCCAGTCCTCTACATTCTTCTTGATCCCTCTCAATTCTTGAAGAAGCCCTGGAAAGAACTCACATCTGTGTAGTACCTAATATGTCTCAGGCCTTGTGGCAGGAGCTGTCACATACATTCTTGCTCAGTCCTCCCTCACAACCACCCTGTGTGGTTGGCACTGCCCTTCCCATTCCACAAATGCATGCAGTGAGGCTTGGCACCGCTGAGGCAACCTGCCCAAGGTCACACAGCTACAAGACTGGGCATCTCCACGTGGCGTGGGCTTCCTCACAGCATGCCAGCCCAAGACTAGCCAATGTCTAAGCTATTTCTAGACATCCCTCTCTTACCTGTGTCCCCTGTACCTGTCCAGGGGGAAAAGGACATTTGCAGACACCATACCCTTGTCCTCTCCCACCATCCATCGCTTGACTCAGGTTGGGCTGTACACCTGACTGTCTGTCCCTCTGTCTATCTGCAGGAAGATGTATATTGTGCTACCACCCAGCACTTGGTGGAAGGTGTCATTTCTGGATACAACGCAACAGTGTTTGCCTATGGCCCCTCAGGTACACCAAGGGCAGTGTCCCCAGGAGTAAATGGGCCACCTCCGAGAGTGGGTGGGTGACAGCGGACTCATCCTAAGGCGCACAGCACCTGCTGTTTGCTCACGCCATGCTGGTCTGTGTTGGTCTCATCTCTATTGTCTCCTGTCATCCTTTCAGCAGCCCCGAAGGGAGGTAACACGATTCCTTTTCACAGATGAGAAAAGTGAGCCTGGGAGAGGTAAAGTGACTTCCCCAAGGACATACAGCTGGTGGGCAGGGACCTGGGATCCACCCTAGTCTGTACTTTGCTGCGGTGAGAATCCAGGAATTCTTTCTCTGCAATTACAGTTGGGCTCAGCCAGCTATCCCATCCATGGAAAGTAGCATGTCAGAGTGTCACAGTCAGGCAGGTCCAGCATAACACCATCATTGTACAGATGGGGAAACTGAGGCCCTGAGAAATGAGTGGTCCACAATCATAGCTTGTCTGTTTCATTTATTGATTCATTCAGCTAGCTTTAGTGAGCACCTACTATGAGCCAGGCTCTGACCAAGGAGAAGAGCAGTGTGGTCCTTGCATATGTTTATTCTCTGATAAAAACAACACAAATATTTCTTAAAGGAAATTTGGAGAAAGAACAAAAATCTCTCACAGCTGCCCTACTCTCATATCTGCATTTTTGCATTTTATTTTTCCTTTTTTCTCCCTAAGCCCAGGATTTCATCCATAGAGTAGTCATCAGACTGTGTAAAAGTTTCCTTGTTCCCCAAATGGAAAACAACAGCGTCAGAGCAGCCAGGGGACTGTTTGCACAACAAAGGTGGCAGGTGTGAACAGAGCATCCGTGGCCTGTTTACATAACAAAGGTGGCTGGTGTGAACAGCTGCCACCTGAGTTTACCTGTCTGTTTTTTAATAGACTTTATTTTTAGAGCAGTTTTAGGTTTACAGAGGAATTGCACAAGCTGGACAAAGAGTTCCCATATTCCTCCTCTGTCCCCAGCACATGGTTTCTCTTATTATTAACATTTTGCATTCCTTTGGAGTATTTGTTATAATTGGTGAACCAGTATTGGTAGATTATTATTAACTAAAGTCCGTAGTTTACATGAGGGTTCACTCCTTGTCCTATGAGTTTTGATAAATGCGTAGTGTCATATGTCCATGATAGCGTCCTGCAGAATAGTTTCATTGCCCTATAAATGCTCCCCGGTGCTCCACCTTTGCCTTACTTTAAGAAAAAAATTATGGTAAAATATATATAACATGAAATTTGCCATTTTAGCAAAGTTAGTGACATTAATCATATTCACCATGTTGTGCAACCATCACCAGTATCCATTTCTAAATGTTATTCATCACCCCAAAGAGAAACTCACTGTGCCTTCAGCAGTAACTTCCCATTCCCCTTCTCCCCAGCTTCTGGTAATCTCTAATATACTTTTGTCGCTATGCATCTCTTTGTTCTAGATACATCATGTAAGTGGGATCATACAATATTTGTCCTTTTGTGTTTGGTTTATTTCACTCAGCATCATGTCTTCAAGGTTCTTCCTTGTAGCATGTATCAGAACTTCATTCCTTTTTTATGGCTGTATACGTACATTGCATGGATAGACCGCATTTTGTTTACCCATTCATCTGTTGATGGACACTTGGGTTGTGCCCACCTTTTGGCTATTGTGAATAGTGCTGCAGTGAACATTGGTGTGTAAGTGCCTGTTGAATCCCTGCTTTCAGGTATCTTGGGTATATACCCAGGGTTGGGATTGCTGGGCCATATGATAACTCCATCTTTAATTTTTTGAGGAATACTTGTTTCCTAATGGCAAGTGTTTCTAGCTTGGCGTCTGAGCATACCTCAGGCGTCACCCCGCCCCGGGGCCTCCCTGCTCCTCCCACAGGTGCTGGGAAGACCTACACCATGCTGGGCATGGATGCAGAGCCTGGCATCTACCTGCAGACCCTCACCGACCTCTTCCAGGCCATTGAGGAGACCAGCGACAACGTGGACTACAGCGTGTCCATGTCTTACCTTGAGGTGAGCCTGCCAGCTGCCTCCGTTTGCTTATCTACAAAATGAGCGTGATCGTACCAGACTAAATGAAACTGTGCATGTAAAGTCTCAGCACTATGTGTTAACCCCAGAGGCCAGCTGGCCTTGTGGCAAGCCTCCAGTTTCAGGGGATCTGAGGTTTCTCTGGAGGCTCAAAGCCCCAGTGACATATAAGTCCCTGTACTTATTTTTTGCACCAAGCTGCTCTGTCCTCAGCTCTTCTGTTCCACCCCAGATTTATAACGAAGTGATCCGGGACCTTCTGAACCCGTCCTCAGGGTTTCTGGACCTGAGGGAAGATTCTCGTGGCAGCATCCAGATCGCAGGCATCACGGAGGTCTCCACCTCGAATGCCCAGGAGGTGAGGGTCATGGGGCCATGGAGAGAAACATGGCTCAGCCCCAGCAGCCACAGACACCAGCGTTTGCGACGTCCTTCTTGTTCAGGTCCACAGAGCATAGATTGACACACAACTCCAGAGCTGTTTCTAAGCAGCTGAACTTAATCTTGCAGAAGAGCAGCTATCTGCACCCATATCTGCCCCCCTAGCCTGTGCTCACAGCAGACATCACAAGTAGGTCACACACCTTTCAACCCTTACTCCCTCATATGTGCACCCACATCTATGCCCCCTAGCCTGTGCTGTTGGCAGTCATCACTAATAGATCACGCACCCTTTCCCTTTGTGTCCAGATGCAGTCTCCCTCTGGATCCTTTCCAATAACCTCTGGGCAGTCACAACCAATCAGAGTTGGTTTAAAGTCCAAAATCCCTTTGCCATCCCAGGTCTTAATTGTTGGTGATAGTGGGAGAGTGTCACCATTTCAACCCTCGTTCCCTTAACGAAGGCAAGTTGTAAAAATGCCTCCAGTACTCTATCTTCTCTATCTGCCTCCAGTCTCTATGTAGTACACACTCAGCACCGTCCTCAGGGTGGGCTTTGAAAGCAGATCTGGGTGGGCCTTTCACCTGCTCAGGGTGGGCTTTGAAAACAGATCTGGGTGGGCCTTTCACCTGCTCAGAAGGCCTTCAGTGGCTCCTTATTGCCTCTGGAGTTGTTACAGACTCCCCTACTCCAGCCTGGATGCCCGTGTGCCCCAGCCGTGCTGGCCCTGAGTCCATGTGTCCTCAGCACCATCTCTCATGGGTTCTGGGGGGGCAGAGGGCACAGCCTTCTGTATTCCTTCATAACAAAGGCTGTATCCATCTTCCCTTCATGCATACTCAGTAGTCCAGCACAAGCTAGCACATAGTAGGTGCTTAGCAGAGGCCCATTGGCTTGATTTCCACAGCTGCCTCATGGCAAATGAGTCTCAGCCCGCCCACCAAGTTTAGGAAATTGTTAGGACGGCCCAGGGCTGTGTATGGCAGAGGCTCCAGGGCTGCTCCAGGCACTGCGGGTTGGATCGAGAGATCCATCAGTGATGTCTGCTATGGCAGAGGAGGGCGAGGGGCAGTCCAAGTGTCAGGAAGCTGCTTCCTGCTTGATGATGACTCAGTGAGTGATTAATTACTGAGTGCTACAATCCAGAAAGGGACTCAGTTCTGCCATGAGCAGCCCAGCTGTGGGGGCCGCTGAAGAGTGGACCCCACCCTGCATCCCCTGCCTGCTGTTCTGGGGGGCACGTGCGGCCACCCAGTGCTCTAACCACCCGCCTCTGCCTCTGTCCTCAGATCATGCAGCTGCTCACCAAAGGCAACCGGCAGCGCACCCAGGAGCCCACGGCCACCAACCAGACCTCATCACGCTCCCATGCCGTGCTGCAGGTCACTGTGCGCCAGTGGAGCCATGGCACAGAGCTGGTGGAGGCTGTGCGCATTGGGCGGCTCTTCATGGTGGACCTGGCTGGCTCGGAGCGGGCGTCCCAGGTGCCCATTTCTCTGACATGCCCCACTCCTCTTTCTTTACTAGACTGTTTTCTAGAGCAGGTTCTGGGTGGTGCCAACAGTTTACACTCAACTACTAACATAAAGGTGGGTGGTTCAAACCCACCCAGCAGCACCATGGAAGAAAGGCCTGGTGATCTCCTTTTGTAAAGATCACAGCCAAGAAAACCCTATGGAGCAGTTCTAACTTGTTGTAACACCTGTGGTTGACAGCAACTGGTTTTTTGTTTTGCTTTATTTTTTAGAGCAGTTTTAGGTTTACAGAAAAATTGAGCTGAAAGCACAGAGAATTCCCATATACTCCCCTCCTCCTCTTATTATTAACATCTTACATTTGTGTGGTACATTCGTTGTAGTTGATGAGCTGATGTTAACACATTATTATTAACTAAAGTCCATAGTTTACATTAGGGTTCACAATTTGTGTTGTACAGTCCTGTGGGTTTTGACAAATGCGTAATGTCATGTGTCCACCATTACAATATCCTACAGAATAGCTTTACTGCCCTAAAAATGCTCTGTGCTTCTCCTGTTCATCCCTTCTCTTGTACCCCAGGCCCTTGGCAACCACTGACCTTTTCGCTGTCTGCATAGTTTTGCCTTTTCCAGGGTGTCACAGAGTTGGAATGATATAGGGTGTAGCTTTTTCAGGATGGCTCCTGGCGGGTTTGTTTGCCTCTGTCTCCCATGTTGGGTGCGTCCCATGATGTCTCTAGCCCTTGGCTGTTTGCTAAAGATTCAGTGTGGGGGACCAAACGCTGATGAAGCTACCCTTTATGACAGTGCCTCACTTTGTTCCCCCTGCCCCTCTAGGCCATGAGCAGGACCATGGATGTCCTTGCTTAGCACATGTCTTCAGCACCCAGGACAGTGCCTGGCTCAGCAGAGGCACTGGCTGTGTGTTGAGTGAATGAATTATCAACAGGCATTGACTGAGGAAGCTCCCCACTTAACCAGGGTTTATGGGGGGCTTCCTGTGCGGTAGAGCCCATTCTAGGCACTTGTTATTATTGTTGTGTGTTGTTGAGTTGATTCCAACTCATAGCAACCCTGTGTGACAGAGTGGAACCGCCCCATAGGGTTTTCTTGGCTATAATCTTTACAGGAACAGATTGCCAGGTCTTCTCTCCTGCAGAGCCACTGGGTAGGTTCAAACCTCCTACCTTTCGATTAGCAGCTGAGTGCTTAACCATGGCACCACCAGGCTCTTTATTCTGGGCACTGGAGATACAAAAATTAATGAGCCCCAGGCCCGCCCTTGTAACTCCCAGCCTCCAGGGGCAGACAGGTGTGAGAGCATATACTCACAGCCCAGAGAGGTATGTACTTAGAGATTTGGGCTCACACAGATGCTGTGGGAACCCAGAGGGGCTTGGGTCTTAATAAAAATCAAAGCTCACATGTACTGCTTGCTTATGTGGGCCTGGCTCTGAGCATTACCCCTTGCACTCCTCATTATAACTCTGGAAAGTGGAGATTGTCACCCCTTTGGCAGATAAGGAGACTGAGGCTTAGACTGGTAGACTTGTCACTTCTCAAATCGATGCCCTTTAAAAGAAAACGTTAGTGCTTTTTTTCTGATCTCAAAAGTAAAAAAAATATAGATAATTTAGTAATAGAAAGAAAATATGTAGAAGACTTGGAAAATACAGATAAGCAAGAAGAAGAAAATACAAGTCCTAGCAATGACTGGTGGCACAACGGTTAAGCACTCGGCTGGTAACCGTAAGGTCGATGGTTCGAACCCACCCAGCAGCTCTGAGAAATAAAGACCTGGAAATCTGCTCCTGTAAAGATTACAGCTTAGGAAACCCTATGAGGTAGTTATACTCTGTCACAATGGGTCTGTCTTAGTTGGAATTGACTCAATAACACCCAGCAAAAACAACGAGCATCTTTTCAACATCAGTAAATATCTCCACATCACCCCTTTTCTGGCTGCTTAGTACTCTGCTACAGAATACTATGCGGTGTATTCATAATTTCTCCATGGTTGGACACCCATGTTGCTTCCAAAATTTCATTAGTTTCTTAGTTATCTAGTGCTGCTATAACAGAAATACCACAAATGGGTGGCTTAACAAACTGAAATTTATTTTCTCATGGTTTAGGAGGCTAGAAGTCCAAATTCAGGATGCCAGCTCTAGGGGAAGCCTTTCTCTCTCTCTTGGCTCTGGGGCAAGGTCCTTGTCTGTTTTGAACTTCTGCTTCTGGGCGATCTTCATGTGGCTTGGTATCTGTCTTCCCACATCACTGCTTCTTTCTCTTGCTTGTTTAATCTCTTTTATATCTCCAAAGAGACTGACTCAAGACAGGCTATACACTAATCTTGCTTTGTTAACATAACTAAGACAGCCCATTCCCAAATGGTATTATAACCACAGGCATAGAGGTTAGAATTTACAACACATATTTCTGGAGGACACAATTCAATCCATAACAATTAGGATGATCAGCACATCCAAAGCCCATGCCTCTAAGGACCATTTCGCCTGTCTGTGCCTCAGTCTCTCTCCTGTGAAATAGGACTGAGGGGGATGGTGTGTCGGGAAGCATCAGGTGGACGGTCCCCACTTACGCTGGCCTCTCCCTGCTCAGACCCAGAATCGAGGCAAAAGGATGAAGGAGGGTGCACACATCAACCGCTCCCTACTGGCGCTGGGCAACTGCATCAACGCGCTCAGCGAGAAGGGTGGCAGCCGGGCACAGTATGTGAATTTCCGAGACAGCAAGCTCACGCGCCTGCTGAAGGTACGTCTGCAGGCCCAAGGAGGGTAGAAGGGGGTAGCCACAACAGCTCCCTCTGCATCCAAGAGGGAGGCCAGACCGGGGTCTAAGGGCCCTTCTGAGAACTCCTGAAGGCAGGAGAACACCATAGAAGCCATCTCTAGTCACTGCCTGGCGCCCCTTGCCCCATCCCTCTGCCTCTGGTTCAGTCTGTGCTTGCACACCCTCATTGACAGCTCACTATCTCCTCGAGGGTTCCTGTCCTATCACAGACCGCACGGAAATGAACGCTGTCCCCTCCACTCCACAACAAGGTGGGGTATAGATAAACAACATAGACAAACCCATAAGTAAATGACTTAAGTTCAACCTCTCAGCCTAACCCTGCTGTCATCAGAATGGAGGCTCTGTGGAATGGGACCACTTCATTCCAAGGGTTGCTTTCCAGGGATTGGCTCCTTAGTCCCTTGCATCCGCTGCCCTTTTCAGTGTTTGGTTGGGCTGGTCTGGATGGGCCAGATCACCAGTAGCGGGGGCTGGTTCTACTGGACAGATTGGGGTATACGGCTCCCATCACCCTGATGAGGTGCCTCCACTGAGCAGGATGCCTTGGGAGGGAACAGCCGGACGGTGATGATCGCTCACATCAGCCCCGCCAGCACACACTTCGAGGAATCACGAACCACACTGATCTATGCTTACAGAGCAAAGAACATCAAGACAAGGGTAAGCCCCTCATGGCGGTCGTATTGGGGGGCCTGCAGCTGGAGGCCTGGCTGTGTACCCGACTCTGCCACTTCCTAGCTGGGCAACCTCGGGCAAGTTTCTTAACCCCTCTGTGCCCCAGTCTCGTCATTTTTTAAATAGGGAGGGTGAGAAGAACAGCAAACCCTTACACACACGGCGCTTTCTGCTGCCAAAATCTGTATATGTGTCCCGCCACTGCTGTAACAAAGGGCCACAAACCGGGAGGCTTAAACCAACAATGTATTCTCTCACAGTTCTAGAGCCAGAAGTCTGAAATTAAGGTGTCAGTAGGACCTGCTCCCTCTAAAGGCTCCAGGGGAAGAGACTTCCTTGTCTTTTCCAGCCTGTGGTAGCCTCACATGGCCTTTCCCTCTTTTTTTCTCCTCTTCTAAGGACATCTGTCATTGAATTGAGGGCCCACCCTAATCCAGGATCATCTCACCTCAAGATCCTTATCTTAATCATATCTGCAAGGACCCTTTTTGCAAATAAGGTCACCTTCACAGGTTCTGGGGTTTGGGACATGGACATAGCTTACTATGTGTCAGGCATTGTTGTAAACTCTATGTGATTTAAAAAACCAGTTGCCATCAAGTCATTTCTGACTCATGGTGACCCGATGTGCGTCAGAGTAGAACTGTGCTCCATAGGGTTTTCAATGGCTGATTTTTTGGAAGTGAATCACCAGGTCTTTCTTCCAAGGTGCCTCTGGGTGGACTCGAACCACCAACCTTTTGGTTAGCAGCCAAGCGCATTAACCGTTTGCACCACCCAGGGACTGCTCTATGTGATTTAACCAGGGCTTGGAACTGGTTTGTTCTGGTTTGACCCCCTGCTGAGAATTTGCATTTCCAACCCAGATAAACTGAATCAGAATCTACACTTTAACAAGATCCCCATAAGAATCACCTGGGGATCTTGTTAAAATGTAGATTCTGATTCAGTTTATCTGGGATGGAAATGCAAATTCGTAGTAGGAGGCTGAACCGGACCAAACCAGTCTGAAGCCCTGGTCTTCTTGTCGGTTCTCCCCTTTCATAAGACACCACTTAAAAGGGATTAGGACTAGGATCCACCCTACTGCAGTATGACTTAACTGATAACGAAAGTGAAGCCCTGTTTATAAACAAGGTCATATTCACAGGTAGGGAGGTTAGGACTTCAGCATATCTTTTTGGGGGACAAAATTCCATCCATAACATGGGGGGCTTCTGCTCTTCACCAAGCTTTGAGTTTAGCAGTGGAGAAGGTGGGGGAGGCAGACATCACACAGGAGGTCACACAGATAAACAATGTCAAATTGCAGTAAGTGCCCTAAGTGAAAATCATAGGGCATTATGAGAAAGAATAACAGAGATGACTGACTTTAGAGGGGCCTTCAGCTAAGGGGGCCAGGCAAGGCCTTTCTGAGGAGGTGGCATTGAGCTGAGCCTCCTTGAGGAGGGGAGCGCGTGATGTGCCGACTTGGAGAGCGATTGAGCAGCATCTGGTAGAAGTTAAGGGGCCTGTGCCCAAGGACCTGGCAATCTCACCTCCTCCCTGACAAATCTACCCCAGAGGAGCACACCCCTGTGCTCAAGCAGGCAGTGTGCCTAGAAAGCCCTGAAATGCCCAAGGGGGTTGTTGTTGGGTGCCATCGAGTTGATTCTGACTCACAAGTGACCCCATGTAACAGAACTGCCTTATAGGGTTTTCTAGGCTATAATCTTTACAGAAGAAAATCACTAGGCTTTTCTCCTACAGAGCTGCTGGTGGGTTTGAACTACCAACCTTTTGGTTCGCAGCTGAGTGCTTAACCATTGCACCACCAGTGCTCCTTTCACAGGGGGTGGGATAAGCAAATTGTACTGCATTTTCCTATGGAACATCTCACAGCTGTTAAAGAAAATGAGATAGACCCATTTGTGCAGCAGATGGCCTCCAAGCCACATTGTGGGATGAGAAAAGCAAGGTGAGGAATGATAGCTGTAGTTTGCTACTATTTACATAAAAACCCAAAGCCAAACTGACAAAACCCCGGTAGATCTCTCTAGCTACATACATACAGTCGATTCTTGTTAGTCTGCGGTTTTTATGTTCTATAAAGGGCAGTGGTGGTTCAGTGGTAGATTCTCACTTCCCATTCAGAAGACCCAGGTTCGATTGCTGGCCATTGCACCTCATGTACAGCCACCACCCTTCTGTCTGTGGAGGCTTGTGTGTTGCTGAGATGCTGAACAGGTTTCAGCAGAGCTTCCAGACTAAGATGGTCTAGGAAGAAAAGCCTGGCAATTGACTTCCAAAAAATGAACCAGTAAAAACTCTATGGATCACAACGGTCCAATCCCATTGTACATGGGGTCTCCATGAGTCAGGGGCTGACTCAACAGCAGCTAACAACAACAGCAACACATTCTATAAAGTAACCGTGAACACTGAATTAGTGAATACTGAACCATTGCTCCAGGGGGAATATAGGATTAGGCTCCCGAAAGCGTCTGGTCACAACATTTTTGTCAACCGATCTATATATGACCTTGTTTTAGGTGTGTTTCTATTTAAAAACACCTTATTTAATATAGTTGATTCGTTAACATTAAAGCCAACAGCAGTATAACTCATGCCTAAAGGAGGCTCATCTATCACACATACATCATGGCTGCCTCGCGCTTAGAAACTCTAGCCAGCACTGTAGTACTACGCGTGGGTCACTTTAAACAGTGAAATTACCAACAAAAAGCATAAAAATGTAAAAGCCATAGCACTAAATAGACTGAGAAAAGGACACTTGTTTTCAGTACGAGAGCTGAAACAAGAAGGCAGAATATTGCCTTGTTCAGTCTCAGCTGGGAACATGCACATCAGACAACTAATTTTTGACCGCTCTGTACATGTCTGTGAATGCTCACAAAAGCTCTCTACAGGTATTGATTTGGGGGTTAAAAATAAATTCGCAAAAACAGAAATGTGAATAATGAGGAGTGACTGCATGTATGAAATTGCACAGAGAAAGATTCGGAAGGATATAAATGATAGCAGTGTTTACCTGTGTGTGGGTGGAACTGGGATAGGGGAGGAGATCCGATGATTAAGAGGTCTGTTAACTCTTGGTGAGTTATCAAAACATGTTTGCATACTATTTGTGTGAATGTGTCACTTTTAAAAAACACTTCTTTCTTGGGCAGTTCTGATTAGATCTGACCTTGGCCCCATGACCTGCCCCGTAGGTCAAGCGCAACCTACTAAATGTCTCCTACCACATCACCCAGTACACGGATGTCATCTCTGACCTGCGCAGGGAGATCGAGCACCTCAAGTCAAAAACTGAGAAGCAGGAGAAAGAGAAGAGGAGCAAGCCCAACACCCGGGATGCCCAAGGTACTGCCTCACCACACCTGTGCCTCCCCTATCCCAGCCACCTGCCACCCTCACCCAAGACCCTGTGCGGGCAGCCCTGTCCCTAGATCCATTGTCTCTCCTTGCCCAAGGGCCTTTTGCATGACCTGCTCTGCACATCTGCACCAGACAATTACCAGTTACTGTGTCGGGGTTTAGTTTCAACTCTGCCACTGTCTCCCTCTGTGACCCTGGGCAGCCCCTGACCCCCTGGCCTTTAGTGTCCTCACCAGAAAAATGCAGGGATTGAGCTGCTTCCTCTCCTTTCCTCTACTTGCTTCCTTTGTTCTTCTTCTTTTTTTTTTTCTTACCTGCCCTTTTTTGGTTTTTCTTCCCCCCAAATCAGTTTCACTTAGGCCCCCTTTTGGGGTCTTTAGAGTGCACCATAGTTTCACCACAAAATTATAAAATCAATCAGTAAGTTAAAAAGGTATCTTTAAAAATACCTGGAAGAAAGCCAAGTGAAATGTATATGTTATATATATTACATTATTAATTATATATTATTTTATAACACATATACTTACATATATATCATATCACATTATTATTATGTATTTTAAAATATATTAAAAGCAAAACCAGTTGCTGTTGAGTTGATTCCAACTCATGATGACCCCCTGTGTGTCAGAGTAGAACTGTGCTCCATCATCCACCCATCTACCCATCCAGGCATCTATTCATCCATGCATCCATCCATGCATCCATCCATGCATCCATCCATCCATGCATTCATCCATCCATTCACCCATCCGTCTACCCATCCAGGCATCCATGCATCCATTCATGCATCCATCCATCCATCCATTCACCCATCCACTCATCCATTTATCCATCTATCCTTTCATCCATCCACTCACCCATTCATCCATGCTTCCATACATCCATCAGTACTTTCATCCCCAAACACCCATTCCTCCATCCATCCACCCATCCACACGCTTCCATCATCCATCCATCCATCCATCTTTCCATCTCCCATCCATACATCCATCCACCTATCCATCACTCATGTTTATTGAGGTCCTCCATGGGCCAGACCCTGCTTTGGTGGGTGAACACAGAGTTCAGTGCTGGTTTGGATGGCACTTCTCCTAGTGCAGCTGGCTCTCTTCCCATCCACAGTCACGATCCCCACACATGACACCGAGGAGGAGAGCCGCCAGCAGATGAACAAGATTCGGGCCCAGCTTATCGGGGCCTTCAAAGAGCAAATGGAGATGAGGCGCAGTCTGGTGGAACTTGAGAACACCAACATTGAGCTGCACATTGACACCTCCCGCCACCTGCTGACCATTGCGGAGTGAGTGTGCCTGCTCACCGGGTACCACCAGGGCCCCAGAGCTGTCCATCCTGATGAGGAGGGGAGTCCAGCAAGGACCACAGAGGCCACTGGTGGGAGCTGCTTTTACTGCTCCTGTCCAGCTAGCCTCTACTGCTTGTAGGTCCCCAAGTGGCTTTAGCCAGGGCACCCTCTCTGCCCGGGTGGGATTTCTGGCCTGATCCCTTCCCAGCTCTCCTGCCCCTGGAGCTAAGCTGGGCTGAAGAGGAAGAATGCTTGGAGCAGGTCAGCTAGGTTCAACTCATTTTACAGAAGAGGAGATTGAGGCTCAGAGGTGATGCCAGCTTGCCTAGGGTCATGCATCTATTAGGCCATTCCACGCTTACTCCCTGTCTTTGTTATCTAGTGTTGGTATAACAGAAATGGCACAAGTGGGTGGCTTTAATGGAAAGAAATTTATTTTCTCATAGTTCAGGAAGCTAGAAGTCTGAATTCAGCACCAGCTTTAGGAGAAGGCTCTCTGTTCACTCTGGGGAAAAATCCTTGTCTCAGCTTCATTAAGCATTCTTCTCGACTTTTTTGGTTCTTTGGTGATCTCCACATGACATCTGTTTTCCCCCTATTTGTGCTTGCTTGCTTCTGTGCCTTATCTGCTCCTTTTGTATCTCAAAGGTGATTTAAGACACACCCTACACTGATGTGGCCTCATTAACATAACAAAACCCTATTCTCAAATGAGATCACATCCACAGGTATAGGGGTTAGGATTCCAACACATATTTTGGGGGACACATTTCAATCTTTGACACTTCCTATTCACACCTACAGTGTGTGCTTCCTTGTAGAGGGGCCATGTCATTTCTCATCCAAACAGGGACACATTGGAGATGGAAGGGGGAGCTGTTAACAATCATACCAGGATGATCGGTGTCACCTAGTACTATTTGGGCCAAGCTGGAACACAGGTTTACTCCACTTACGAGTAACTTAAAACTTAGTGCAAGGATTGAAGCCCCATTCTCCTTATCCCTCTCTCCCACTTCTCCCCACGTTTCTCCTCCTCTTCCTCCTTCCTCTCTCTCCTTTTTTTTAATTACACAAACAGTATACCTACGTCTGAGGAATTCTAAATAAAACGGAACACTGTCACGATCTCATTCATTTTCAGCTGCACGCTCTCTTTGTCCTTGTTTCCTTTTAGTCCTGGGTCATGTGCGACTTCCATGGCATGGTCCTCACTGGAGTTTACATACCATGTAGCCCCTAACAGGTGTGTTTGGAGCTTTGATCACAAGCTGCGGGTTATCACAGTCTGTCCTCATAGAGCTCCTGGTACTCATACTGCTGGGATCACAGGCTTACAGCTTGGGAAACCGAGGCTCCAAGGGGGTCAGTTTATGTAGGTGGAGGGCCAAGGTCACCCAGGCGGCGAGGGGCAGTGCTGGGCCTTGAGGCTGGGAGCGCTGGCTGCAGACGCCTGCCCTTAATCACGCCGTGATCCTGCCACAGATGTTTGCTGTTTAAGCATTTCATTCCAGTTTGTGTTCATACCTTTTCTTTGGTGTTCAAGAGATCTAACTGTAGACCCAGCTCTGCTCCCTTCCATGCCCATGCCTGAGAGTGGGCCAGCTGGGCCTGAGGTACAGCATGTCCAGCCTTGGATGCACTGGCGCTCTGACCCTTCTGTTGTGGCCATAGCTGGGAGCGAGAGAAGACCCACCACGTGCACAGGGAGCGGCCCAAGCCTGATGGTGACAATGAGCTGCTGGAGGCCGATGCAGAGGGTGACGAAGGCGAGTCTGTGGAGCCACACGAGGTGGCCCTAGCCAGAGAGGAGATCAATATGCTTCTAGCTGAGCAGCGGAAAACAGCCGCCCTCAAGGTGAGGGCAACGGAACGTGCACCTGTTGAAGGTAACCTTGGTGATGATAAGATGCCATGTCACTTGTTGGTCCCTGACCCTTTGTGACCCTGACCTCTTCCACTCCTGCAACAGTCCCACAGATCACGACCATTTTATAGACGAGAAAACTGAGGCACAGAGCAATCAGGTGAGTTGTCCCACATCCCCAGAGCAGGACCCAGCCTAGGCCTGGTGTCAGAGTCATGACTGGACCTGGGGCTGCGGAGGCAGTGCGCAGGGCAGAGAAGCCAGTGGCCATGGAGATGGGCGTGAGTGGCACTGTGGTGTCTACTGGGACCCCATGCTTGCCTCACCTACTATGATGGACAGCTGGCCACTGCCCTCTAGAATAGCCAGGCCTCAGCTTCCAACAGTGCCTTGGCAGTTACCCAAGGGACACAGCCAGAAGGAAGCCCGCGCTCAAGTCTCCGGTATGGGGAATGTTTATTTTTGCCTTCTAAGAAGAGCTGGCTATTTACATAGTAGCTATTTCGCTAATCGCTAGTTACTTAATAGTTTCACCTCAGAAGAATGACAGGACTGGCCCTTGATGGAGAAGGAGATGGAATAAAATTCAAGCAGAGCTGGGTGCTATTTCAGCCCATTAGCTAAGTGTCTGCAGTTGTATTTTCAGGCAAGTGGAGAATGTGTCTGATGACGTCATGTTGTTAAAAGCAGGTGGCATTAATTCCACCTAAAAGCTCCGTAGCCAAACAAGAGCCTCTTGGATATGACTTCATCTGCCCTCAGCAATTTGGAGATGACGAGTTTTCGCCTCAAAAGCCCTCTAACCTTTAAAAGTGAGAAAATGTGTTTTGCACAGACCAATAACGTGCATATGCGTGACAGCATGACCTTCAAGAGTCAGATTTTGATATTGCTATGCAGTGTAGCATGTAGATGACAAATCCATCAGTTAATTAATTAGTTAATTAAAACAAGCACATGTTTTAAATGTTAAGCTCAAGGCCAGGCCCCAGGGACATAAAGATGACAAGGCATTCTTCAACTTCAGCTCTAATAGGGAAAGACAAACACATCCAACTACAATTCCACCATGGTGGCACAGGAAAGATGATTCGTGGGAGCTAGAGGAGGGAGCTCTTATCCAGTCTGGGAGTCAGGGAGGACTTCAGGGAGAAGGCCACATTGGAAGCAGCATCTTGGAGGAGCGTAGGGTCTTATTAGGGCAGCTGAGCCCAACTCCTCCCAAGTTGCACCCTGTCAATTCCAGATGAAGAAGAGGGTGAAGCTGTCCTCAGCTGCGCTGAAAATTGTTATCCACCCCGTTCCTGGGGAGCCCCTGGATGTTGCAGGCGGTTAACACACTCTGCTGCTAATCGAAAGGTTGGAGGTTCGAGTTCACCCAGAGATGCCTCAAAAAAAACTTCCAGGAAAATCACAGCCTTGAAAACCCTGTGGAGTATAGTTCTAGTCTGCATGCGTGGTTATCGACATAAGTCAGAATAGACTCTGATGACAACTGGTTGGTTACTGGACCACATTTTGTTTGCCCATTCATCTGTTGATGAACACTTGGGCTATTTCCATATTTTGGCTATTATGAATAATGCTGCAGTGAACATTGGTGTACAGGTATATGTTTGAGTCCCTGCTTTCAAGTCTTTTGGGTACATATACAGGAGCAGAATTGCTGGGTCATATGGTAATTCTATGTTTAACTTTTTGAGGAACCACCAAACTGTTTTCCACAGCCGCTATACTACCTTACAATCCCACCAGAATTGGATGAGGGTTCCAATTTCTCCATGTCTTCACCAACACTTGTTATTTTCTGCTTTTTGATAACAGCCACCTCAGTGTGGGTAAAGTGGCATCTCACTGTGGTTTTGACTTGCAAGCCCCTGGTGACTAATGCTGAGCATCTTTTCATGTGCTTGTCGCCCATTCGCACATCTCCTTGGGAGAAACGTCTGCTCTAACTCTTGGTCTTTTTGCCAGGCGGGGCTGGAGCAACGCCTGGCAAACGCCAAGAAGAAGGCCTCACAGATGGAGAAGCTGCTGCCCATGCAGGTCATCAACGAGGACCAGCGGGAGGTGCTGCGGCTGCTGTGCCATGCCCATGAGCTGGAGGTGGAGAACACGGAGCTGCAGGCCAGCAACCTGTACCGGCAGAACCTGCTGTGCCAGAAAGACTTCATCATCCAACGCTACCACCAGCACCGGCTGCTCTGTGAGCAGATCATCCAGGACCAGCGGCAGCTCATCCAGGGTGAGTCACCCCTTGTCTTCCGGGCACTGGGGTCTTTTTCTTAAGATATATTTTTTTAATCTGGTAAAATATTGTTGTTGCGTGCCATTGAGTCAATTCCAATGCATAATGACCCCATGTGACAGAATAGTACTGCCCCGTAGGGTTTTTTAGGCTGCAGTCTTTACAGGAACAGATCGCCAGGTCTTTCTCCTGTGCAGCCACTGGGTGTGTTTGAACTGCCAAACTTTTTGGTTAACAGCTGAGAGCTTAACCACTGCGCTGCCAGGGCTCCTTATAGATGCTTAGACATAATTCTATATAAATAACTACATACAGCCATCAAAACCAGGAAATTAACACTATATATTGTTGTTGGATGCCGTTGAGTCGATTCTGACTCATAGTGACCCCATGTGACAAAGTAGAACTGCCCCATAGGGTTTCCTAGGCTGTGATATTTATGGGAGCAAATTGCCAGGTCCTTTCTCCTGTAGAGGTGCTGGGGGAGGGGGGTTCAAACCACCAACCTTTTGGTTAGCAGCCCAGCACTTAATCGTTTTGCCACCAGGACTCCTTTGGTAAAATATACGTAACATAAAATTTGCCATTTTAACCATTTTTGAGCATACAATTCAGTGGCACTAATTACATTCATGATGTTTTGCAACCATCACCACTATCCATTTCAAAAACTTTATCATTCCCTCAACAAAAACTCTGCACTTGCTGAGCAGTTACTCCCCGCACCCCACCCGCAGCCCATGGTGACCACTAATCTACTTTCTGTGTATGCATTTGTCTATTCTACATGATTCATATAAGTGGGATCAGACAATATTTGTCCTGGCTTCTTTTATTCAATGTGTGTCTAACTTCTCAGCATCATGTTTTCAAGGTTTAGCCATGTTGTAGCACGGATCAGGACTCCATTTCTCTTTATGGCTGAGTGATATCCCATTGTTTGGATGGACTGTATTGTGTTCATCCATTCACCTGTTGATGGACACTTGGGCTGTGTCCACCTTTTGGCTGTGGTGAAAAGTGCTGCAGTGAGCATTGGTGTACAGATTTCTATTTGAGTCCCTGCTTCATTTCTTTTGGGTAAACCTAGGAGTATTCCTTTAACTTTGAACTTTAATTCTATTTATGATTGAAAAGGAATATGTGAACATCATAGAAAATTTGTACATTAGAGAAAAACATGAGAAGAAAATATACAGAAACCCTACTATTTGGAAAAACCTGTTTTTTCAGGCTAGTATATTTGCTTTCAAGCTTCCAAAAAAGTTTACTGTCTTTTTTATTTTCTTTCTTTCTAGATTTTATTTTGTTGTTGTTGAACATACACAGCAAAACATACACCAGTTCAACAGTTTCTGTATGTACAATTTAGTAACATTGATTACATTGATTGTGCAGCCATTCTCACCCTCCTTTTCTGAGTTGTTCCTCCTTCATTAACATAAACTCACTGCCCCCTAAGGTTTCTATCTAATCTTTTGAGTTGCTGTTGTTAATTTGATCCCATATAGATAGTTCTTAAAAGCACAGTGCTCAAGGCAGACCTTTTTTTTTTACTAGTTAAGCTGAACTATTGCTCAGTTTTAAGATGATTTCAGGGGATATTTTTGGTTTAAGGTTTAAAGATTATCTCAGAGCAATAGTTTCAGGGGTTCATCCACCCTCCACGGCCCTAGAGAGTCTAGAGTCCATGAGAATTTGAAATTTTATTCTGCAGTTTCCCCCTTTTAATCAGGATTCTTCTATGGAATATTTGATCAAAATGTTCAGTAATGGTAGCCGGGCACCATCCAGTTCTCATGGCAAAGGAGGCAGTTGTTCATGGGGGCAATTAGCCACACATTCCATTTCCTCCTCCTATTCCTGACTCTCCTTCTTCCTCTGTTGTTCCAGGCTAATAGAGACCAATCCTTGTGCCTTGGATGGCTGCTTGCAAGCTTTCAAGCCCCCAGGCACTATGCATCGAACTAGGAGGTAGAACAGAAGCACTAAACATGTTATTAGGCCAATTAACTGGGATGTCCCATGAAACCATGACTCTAAATCTCCAAACTAAGGAACCAAATCCCATGAGGTGTTTAGTTATACATAAGCAGCCCTAGCAGCTACCGTTTCTTTTTTTTTCTTGTTGTTAGAAATATGCCTATCACACAACTTTTGTGAATTCAACTTTATATAGATATACAACTTATTGATAGCAATTACAGTAATCAGCTATGCAGCTCTACTCTTAATCAATGCAATATTTCCATCACCATTAACCCACCTTTTCTCCCCTCCCTCCTACCCCTGGTACCACTAATAAACTTTGGTCTCTATTCATTTGCCTTTTCTTGTCTTTTTATATACATGAGTTCATACAATACTTGTCCTTTTGTGACTGGTTTATTTCATTCATCATAATGTCTTCCAGCTCCATCCATACCGTAAGCATGTATCAAGACTTCATTTCTCCTATGGCTGAATAGTATTTATTCCACTGGATGTATGTACCACATTTTGCTTATCCAGTCATCTGTTGATGGGCATTTAGGTTGTTTCTACCTTTTGGCTACTGTGAATAGTGCTACAATGAATATTGGTGTACAAGTCTCTTTTTGAGTCTCTGCTTTCAAGTCTTTTGGGTATATACCTAGGAGTGGAATTGCTGGGTCATATGGTAGTTCTATTTTTAGTTTTCTGAGGAACTGCCACACTGTTTTCCACAAGGGCTGTGCCATTTTGCATTCCTACCAGCAATGGATAAGTATTCCAATATCCCTACATCCTCCCCAACATTTGTTATTTTCTGTTTTTGTTTTTTTTTTAATCTTAGCCATCCTACAACCAACCAACCAACCCATTGCCATCGAGTCAATTCTGACTTATAGAGACTCTGCGGGACAGAGTAGATCTGCCCCACAGGGTTTCCAAGGCTATAAATCTTTACAGAAGCAAACTGCCACATCTTTCTCCCCCAGAGTGGCTGGTAGGTTTGAACCGCTGACCTTTTGGTTGACAGCCAAGTGCTTAACCACTGCTCCACCAGGGCTCCTTAGCCATCCTACTGGGAGTGAAATGATGTCTCATTGTGGTCTTGGTTTGTATCTCTGTGATGGCTGATGATCCTGAGCATCTTTTCTCTCATGTGTTTGGTGGCAGTTTGAATGTCCTCTTTGGTGAAATATCTATTCAAGCCCTTTGCCCATTTTATGATTGGCTTATTTGTCTTTTTGTTGTTAAGTTGTTGAAGTTTTGTATATATTTTGGTTGTTAGATTCTTGTCACGTATGTGGTTTCTGAAGATATTCTTCAAGTTGTTAGCTTGTCTTTTTACTTTTTTTGGTAAAGCCTTTAGATGAACAAAAGTTTTTAATTTTTATGAGGTCCCATTTATTTTGTCTTTTGTTGTTTGTGCTTTTGTTATTATATTAGATAATCCATTGTTGACAGCTAGGCCTGACAGCATTGCCCCTGCTTGTTCTTCTAAGCATTTTACGGTTTTAGTTTGTACATTTAGATACTTAATCCATTTTGAATTTGTTTTTGTGTATGGTGGGAGGCATTGATTCTGTTTCATTTTTCTGCATGTGGAAATCCAATTTTCCCAGCACCATTTATTGAAGAGACTCTTCTTTCCCTATCGAATAGACTTATCACCCTTGTCAAAAATCAATTGACCATAGATGTGTGGGGTTTTTTTTGTGGACTCTTAATTCTATTCCATTGGTCTGTGTGTCTATTGTTATACCAGAATCAGGCTGTTTTGATTACTGTGGCTATATAAACCCAAACCAAACCTGTTGCTGTCGAGTCCATTCTGACTCATAGTGACCCTATAGGACAGAGTAGAACTAACTGCCCCATGGAGTTTCCAAGGAGTGGCTAGTGGATTCGAAGTGCCGACCTTTTGGTTAGCAGTCATAGCTTTTAACCACTTGCCAGCAGGGTTCCATATAGTATGTTTTAAAATCAGGAAATGTGAGTCCTCCTACTTTGTTCTTCTCTTTCAATGTTGTTTTAACTATTCCGGGCCTCTTGCCATTCCATATAAAGTTGAGGATTTTTTTATTTCTATGAAGAAGGCTGTTGGAATTTTGATTGAGAGTGTATTGAATCTATAGATTGCTTTGGGTAGTATTCACATCTTAACAATATTAAGTCTTCTAATCCATGAATGTGGATCATCTTTCCATTTATTTAAGTCTTCTTTAACTTCTTTCAGCAGTGTTTTGTAGTTTTCTTTGTGCTTACATTTATTCCTAGGTGTTGTATTCTCTTAGATGCTGCTGTAAATGAAATTGTTTCCCATTTTCTTTTCGGATTTCTCATTGCTGGTGTATAGAAACCAGACTGTTTTTTTTTGTTTGTTGACCTTGTACCCTGCAACTTTGCTAAATTCCTCTATTAGCTCTAGAAGTTTTCTTGTGGACTCTTTTGGGATCTTCTACTGTCTTTTTAACAAGCGTCCAGTGACAGATGTTTTGCCTGATTTTGCTTTTGTGGGGGTAGTGCATCCCACTCGGCCCCTTCTAACCCCCGCTTTTCCCACTCCCAAAGATGGCAGACTCCCAGTTCCAGACCCCCTGGACAAGCAGTACCGCATGTACTCGCAGGAGCTGGATGAGGGCACGCTCAACCACCTGCTGCTTCTTCACTCGCTGATGGCCAGCGCCCTTCGCGTGAGTCCTACTGCCAGCTCCAGCTCTCACCCGCCTGGCCTCAGTGCCACTCAGTCCTTCTCTGGGCCGCAGCCTGCAGTGGGTACAGTGTGTGCTGGGCTGTGGGGACTGGTAAGAGGGAACTTGGAAACATACCATGTCTCAGTGTCCTGTGGCTGCTGTAACAGAAATACCACAGTTCTGGAGGTTCTAAGTCCAAATCAGCACATCGGCTCTAGAGGAGGGTCCTTCCTTGTCAGTAGCCCCATTGTTCCTACGTGTTCCTTGGCTTGTAGATGGTTCCTCACATGGCATCTTACCCCTGTGTGTGTCTCTTGTCTATTCTGGTCTTCTTATAACTCAGAGATGGGATTAGGTTTAGAACCCACCATACTGCATATGTCCTCATAAATATAACAAAAGGAAATCTCTATTTCCAAACAGGGTCACCATTATAGGAACATGGGTTAGGATTGCAACACATAATTTTGGGGGACACAGTTTAGTCCATAACAGTAGGTGTCGTCTTATGTATGTGCTCATGCAGCTTTAGCATAAATGTCTACAGGTGGAAATTCTGGGTCAAGGGCTATGTGTCTTTAGAATTCTCATCGGCGTTGCCAAATGTCTCTCCACAGGGGCGGTACCACTTTATACACCTGTTATTGTTGTTGGGTGCTGTCAAGTGGATTCTGACTAATAGTGATCCCATGTGACAGAGTAGAACAGCCCTATAGGGTTTCCTAGGCTGTGATCTTTATGGGAGCACATCTCCCACAGAGCCACTGGTGGGTTCAAACTGCCCACCTTTTGGTTAGCATCTGAGCGCTTAACCATTTTGCGCCACAAGGGCTCCTCTTCATACACCTATTGATCGCAGTATGCGCATGTCCCTGGTACCTTCTCTACCCATTATTTTCAGATTTTGTCAATCCAGTAGGTGTGCTGAGAACTTCTTGGTGCCCAGATGCCCAAATCTCTTCATGATTGCCTTCTAATTAAATCAAATTCAAACATATGTCTTCACTGTAAACAATGCACTGTTTTGGCCTTGCATGCAAACTATGTGTCTCAGGCTTCCAAACCCAGCTTACCCTGATTCCCCTCCCCTAACATAACCCATCTGGTGGGCTCACACCAACTCGCTTCCTGCAGGACTCCATGTACTACTTTAGAAACCCTGAATTCTCACTATGGAAAACCACCAGTGCTCCCCACATCTACGACCCTGTCCTGGGACCCTGTGGCCCATGAAATTCTGGTGCCCACCTTTCTCTATCTCCTCCAGGCCTCCATCCCCTGCTGGCCAGCACTCTTCCTGAAACACTGAACTCTCTTCTGTGCTTTCCTTTATCAGCTGTGTCACTATCCCGTTGCTGTGGAATCAATTCTGACTCATACCAACCCTACAGGACAGAGTAGAACTGCCCCATAGGGTTTCCAAGACTGTAATCTTTATGGAAGTAGACTGCCATATCTTTCTCCCATGGAGCGGCTGGTGGGTTTGAACCACTGACCTTTTTTAGCAGCCAAGCACTTAACCAATGTGCCACCAGGGCTCCTTAGGGCACTATAGTAACCACTATATCCACAGAGGTCCCTGGGTGGCGCAAAGGATTAAGTGCTTGGCTACTAACCTAAAGGTTGGAGGTTTGAGCTCACGCAGTGGTACCACAGAACAAAAGACCTGGCAATGTGCTTCCATAAAGTTTACAGCTAAGAAAACCCTACAGAGCAGTTCTGCCTTGTCACATTTGGTGTCATCATGAGTCTGAATCAACCTGATGGCAACTAACAACAGCAACATACCCACGTGTTCCCTCTGCACTTACCATTCCTGTGAAAGCCGCACTCAGCTTCAGCTGCCAGGACCCCAGTTGGTCCTCCTGGGGCAGGACAGAAATGCTGAGGAGTTAACCCTCCCTGGCAGCCCTCAGCCCATGATTGACAGAGATGGGTGGGTCAGCCCTCACTCACCTCCTCACTGGTATGAGATGGCTGTGAGATACTGAGGTGTGTGCCCCACAGTGTCTCTCAGGATTCCCCAATGGGTTTAAGCCCCAGTTGCCCACAGTGGTAACCTGTTCACTAACGTACTCTTTGTTGGCTTCCTACCCTTCCCTGTCTCACATCCGCACTCTCCTGCAATGTTTCCTAGGACCAACCCCCAAATAAACTCTTCATTCTTAGATGCCGATGCTTCTGAGGAACCTATCCCTCACCTCCATTTCCCAAGTCTCCATTTCTTCCCTGTAAGATTGGGATGGAACCTCTGGTTGGTGAAAATGATGAATGCGCTCAGCCGCTAACCGAAAGGTTGGGGTTTTGAGTCCACCCAGAGGTGACTCAGAAGAAAGGCCTGGCGATCTACTTCCTAAAAATCAGCCATTGAAAACCCTGTGGAGTACAGTCCTACTCTGATACACATGAGGTCACGATGAGTAGAATAGACTTGAAGGCAACAGGTTTTTCTTTTTAAGATTGGGCTGGAAGTATTTCCTACCTCATAAGGATGTTGTGAGGATCAAACGTCTGAAATATTGTCAGTGCTCAAAAAAAGGTCCGCAGCTCTGTGTACTTGATCTCCAGCTAAGCTGGTTCATTATCAGGCCAGCTGGGCAGCTTCCTGTGAGATGCAGTTTGAGGGGCAGGAGAACCTGACCAACATTGTGAAGGGGTGGGGAACACTGTAATCACCAGAGCCCCTCTCAGGGATAACTGGGGGAGTGGAAATTGCACCTGGATTAGCCCCTGGAGTTAGCAGCAAGGCCCTAAGGGACAAGCTTCAGTGGAACCTCAGTCTGAGGAGGTCCTAGGCTTGCAGAGTGGGATGTGCCAGTTTGGGGCCGAGGGGAATTGCTTGGGCCGGTGGGGGCTGGCACCATCACCTCCATCTTCTGGCCCTCTAAAGAGTGCAGCTTTTGAAAAAAATTTTTATTGCGCTTTAGGTGAAAGTTTACAGCACAAATTAGTTTCTTATTAAAAAATTTATGCATACATTATTTTGTGACATTGGTTGCAATCCCTGCAATGTGTCAGCACTCTCCTGCTTTCCACCCTGGTTTCCTTGTGTCCATTTGTCCACTTTTCCTGTCCTTTTCTACCTTCTCGTTTTTGCTTTTGGGCAGGTGTTGTCCATTTGTTCTCATATGCTTGATTGAACTAAGAAGCACATTCCTCACGTGTGTTATCATTTGTTTTATAAGCCTGTCTAATCTTTGGCTGAAAGGTAGACTTTGGGAGTGGGTTCAGTTCCTAGTTAGTTATGTCCGGTGGCCACAGTCTTGGGGGTTCCTCCAGTCTCTGTCAGACCAGTAAGTCTGGTCTTTTTTTGTAAATTTGAATTTTGTACTATGTTTTTCTCTCGCTGTGTCTGAGACCCTCTATTGTGATCCCTGTTAGAGCGGTTAGTGGTGGTAGCCAGGCACCATCTAGTTCTTCTGGGCTCAGGCTGGCGGAGGTTGTGGTCCATTAGTCCTTTGGAATAATATTTTCCTTGTATCTTTCATTTTTTTCATTCTCTTCTGCTACTGACAGGATGGCTGCTTACAAGCTTTTGAGACCCCAGATTCTACTTACCAAAGTAGGATGTAGAAAATTTTCTTTATGAGCTGTGTTATGCCAGTTGACCTAGATGTCCCCCGAGACCATGGTCCCCAGCCTTCAACTCAGTAATTAAGTCCCTCAAGGTGTTTAGATGTGTCTAGGAAGCTTCTATGACTTTGCCTTGATCAAGTTGTGCTGACTTCCCCTATATTATGTTCTGTCTTTCCGTTAACCAAAGTTAACACTTGATTACTATCTAGTGATTTTCCCTCTCTACCCTCCCCTCACTTGTAACCATCAAAGATTGTTTTTTTTCTGTATATAAGCCTTTTCTTGAGTTTTTATACTAGCGGTCTCATACAATATTTGTCCTTTTGTGACTGACTTACTTCACTCAGCATAGAGCCGTCCGGATTCATCCATGTTGTGAGAAGTTTTGAGGATTCATCATTGTTCTTTATTGTTGTGTAATGTTCCATTGTGTGTATGTACCATAATTTGTTTATCCACTCATCTGTTGATAGGCATTTAGGTGGTTTCCATCTTTTTGCTATTGTGAATAATGCAGTGAACAAATATATCTATTCATGTCACAGCTCTTATTTCTTTAGGGTATATACCTAGGAGTAGGATTGCTGGATTGATGGTATTTCTACTTCTAGCTTTTTAAGGAGGCACCATATTGTTTTCCATAGTGGTTGTACCGTTTTACATTCCCACCAGCTGTGCGTAAGAGTTCTGATCTCTCCGCAACTTCTCCAACGTTTGTTATTTTCTGTTTTTTTTTTTTTCTTTATTAGTGCCAGTAATGTCAGGGTGAGGTGGTCTCTCATTGTGGTTTTGATTTGCATCTCTAACAGCTAATGATCGCAAGCATTTCCTCGTGTGTCTGGTAGCCACCTGAATGTCTTCTTTGGTGAAGTGCTATTCATATCCTTTGCCCATTTTTTAATTGAATTATTTGTATTTTTGTTGTAGAGGTGTTGGATTTTCATGTAGATTTTAGAGATTAGACCTTTGTCGGATATGTCATAGCCAAATTTTTTTTCCCAATCTGTAGGTTCTCTTTTTACTCTTTTGGTGAAGTCTTTTGATGAGTATAAGTATTTAATTTTTAGGAGCTCCCATTTATCTAGCTTATCTTCTGGTGTTTGTCTATTGTTAGTTATGGTTTGTATTGTATATATTCCATGTATTAGGGCCCCTAGTTCTGTCCCTATTCTTTCTTCCATGTTCTTTATTGTTTTAGGTTTTATATTTAGGTCTTTGATCCATTTTGAGTTAGTTTTTGTGTATGGTGTGAGGTATGGGTCCTGTTTCATTTTTTTGCAGTTGGACATCCAGTTTTGCCAGCACCATTTGTTAAAGAGACTGTCTTTTCCCATTTAATGGACTTTGGTCCTTTGTCAAAGATTGGCTGTCCATAGGTGGATGGATTTACGTCTGGGTTCTCAGTTCCGTTCTGTTGGTCAATATGTCTATTATTGTACCACTGCCAGGATGTTTTAACTGCTGTGGCTATATAGTAGGTTCTGAGATTAGGTAGTGTGAGACCTCCTACTTCATTCTTTTTCTTCAATAATGCTTTGCTTGCCCGGGGCCTCTTTCCTTTCCATATAAAATTGGGGATTAGTTTTTCCATCTTGATTTTAAAGAATACTGTTGGTATTTGGATTGGGATTGCATTATATGTGTAGATCACTTTGGGTAGAATTGACATTTTCACAATGCTGAGTCTTCCTATCCATGAACATGGTATGTTTTTCTATTTACATAGGTCTCTTTTGGTTTCTTGTAATAGTGTTTTGTAGTTTTATTGTAATAGGTCTTTTAAGTCCCTGATTATATTTATTCCTAAGTATTTTATCTTTTTAGGGGCTATTATAAATGATATTGTTTTCCTGATTTCCTTTTCAAAGTTCTAAGAGCACAACTTTTTCAACGAGCATTTAAAGATTATTGGTTTGAAGGAATTCCTGAGGGTCCCATTGATCTGGTCTTGCTGTGACCACCTGCAGGCTTTTGAAGGCTCTCTGACCAGGGCCTCCTGTGCAAACAGATGTCTCCTGGTGCAAGGGTCAAGATTGCTCTTTAATGGTCCTTTGGGATTACAGTTTGCAACAGAGCCTTTCTGTCTCTGAGATTGGGGGGAAACAGCCAGACGCATGTTAATGAGCTCACATGCTGGTCTCCCTGCTGCAGTGATTTCCTTTCAGGGGGGCAGGTGGTGGCAGGGAGGACAGGGGCCTTCCCATGCCTCCTTGGGGATGCCCTGCTTGATGACACAGCCTGTCTGTGTCCTTGCCTGCCTTACACGTCTCTTCTATCTGCTCCCAGGATGGCTCTGTGCTGAATGTATCTCCCCTGCCAGAGGATTCCAGCCGAGACCAGCCCAGTGACAGAAAGGACCTCCCATGGGGCGCCCAGTTTGAGCCGCCACCGATGCTGCTAGAGACAGACAAGTAACAACCTCTCCTCTGCTCCTTACCTCAGGTGTCTCCAGGTCTCCTTTGTTTTCCTGCAGTCATCTGGAACTGGGATAGGGAACTGGAGGCCAGCAGATGCAAGTTCCAGGCCACAGCCAACATGTGACCTTGGGCACATCTCAAAGCCTCCTCCATTTCCTCATCTGTGAAATAGGTCTAAAAACCTCTTCCTTGCAGGGTTGTTTTAAGAATCATCAATATGTCCCTGTTGTTAGTTGCCGTCAAGTCAGCTCTGATTCATGGCGACCCCATGTGCAACAGAATGAATTGTTGCCTGGTCCTGCATCTTCCTCACAATTGTTGGCATGCTTGAGTCCATTGTTGTGGCCACTGTGTATTTTGAGTGCCTTCCATCCTAGGGTGCTCATCTCCCAGCACTGTATTGGCTAATGTTCTGTTGTGATCCATAGGCTTTTCACTGACTATTGTTCAGAAGTAGATCACCAGGCCTGTCTTCCTAGTCTGTCTCAGTCTGGGAGCCCCACCGAGACCTGCCCACCATGGGTGACCCTGCTGGTATTTGAAATACTGCTGGCATAACTTCCAGCATTGTAGCAACGTGCAAGCCACCACAGTACAACAAACTGACAGACGGGTGGTGGAGATACGTCCTAGGAGATGTTCAATATGTAGAGCAATTAGGTGGTTGGGAAGTTTTTATTTTTTTTTAATTGTATTTTAGATGAAGGTTTCCAGAGCAAATTAGTTTCTCATTAAACAATTAATACACATACTGTTTTGTGACATTGGTTGCCAACCCTACTACATGTCAACACTCTCCCTTCTCTACCTTGAGTTCCCTATTACCAGCTTTCCTGTCCCCTCCTGCCTTCTTGCCCTTTCCCCTGGGCTGGTGTGTCCATTTAGTCTTCTTTTGTTTTATGGGCCTGTCTAATCTTTGGCTGAAGGGTAAACCTCAAGAGTGACTTCATTACTGAGCTATAAGGGTGTCTGGGGGCCGTGCTCTTGGGGTTTCTTCAGTCTCTGTCAGACCAGTAAGTTTGATCTTCTTTTTTTTTGTGTGAGTTAGAATTTTGTTCTACATTTTTCTCCAGCTCTGTCCGGGACCCTCTATTGTGATCCCTGTCAGAGCAGTTGGTGGTGATAGCCGGGTACCATCTAGTTGTGCTGGACTCAGTCTGGTGGAGACTGTGGTAGTTGTGGTCCATTAGTCCTTTGGACTAGTCTTTCCCTTGTGTCTTTGGTTTTCTTCATTCTCCCTTGCTCCAGACAGGGTGAGACCAATAGAGTATCTTAGATGGCTGCTTGCAAGCTTTTAAGACCCCAGACGCTACTCAACAGTTGGGAAGTTTGATGCCAGAAATACCATTTTCATTTCACATGTACTTTAAAAAAATTTTTTTAGTTCAATATTAGCCACTTACTCCACCTTTAATGCTTCCCCCCGCCCTTTTTCTTTTCTTTTTACTTTTTATTTTGGTATTTTTGAGCATACCAAGAATTAGACTAGTAAATTGAACACACCCATAGAGTCATCACCTAGATTTGATCATTAACATTTTGCCAATTTGTGTCAGAGATTTCTTGCTTACGTATTTAAAGTAAAGTAAAACACAAACATCTTATTTCACCCCTAAGCACTTTAGTGTGCAATTCTAAAACGTGATATTTTCCTCCATAACCACGATTATCATTATTATCATTCCCAACAAAATTCATAATATTTCTTCAGTATCATCTAATATCCTATCAATAGCCAGATTTATTTAGCTTTACTCAAAATGCCTTTTGCGGCTGGTATGTTCAGGGTCCAGGGAAGACCTCGCAGTGCATTTGTCTGTAATGCCCAGGTCTAATCTGTAACCCTTAGGGTTACTGATCACACCAGATTCCAGACAGAGGGAGGGGCCAGTCCAGTAATGCGTGCGTGCATGTGCGCATCTGCGTGTGTGTGCACACGCACGTGTGCCTGCTTGTGTTTGTGTAAAAGAGAAGTGCCCTATCTCCCCTTGATCAAGCGTACCTCAGCATCCATACTGGCCGCCATGCTGTGCTGCCCGTGCTCTGCCATTGGCATCTCAGGGAACCTCCCAGTTGACACAGGTCTTCAACACCTACAGTCACATGGCCTGTTAACCATGAGACAGGTCATTTTCACTCAGTTTGTAGATGAGAAAGCAGAGAGGCGATGAGCCCAAGACCGCTTGGCAGGGCCACGGTGGAGCCTGGGTTTGATGTCTGATGCTTTGTTCTTATGTTGTTACTGATGACCTGACTTGATGGAAGGCTGTAGAAACACTGTGTCATTTTCACGGTAGAATTGTGGAACCCTGGAAAGCTGAGCTAAAGGGTTATCAGAGGTCCCTTCTTCCTCCAATGGCCGAAGTCTTCCAAACAAGGCAACCCCTGAGTGGCTTCCTCCAATTCTCATCTGTGCGTCTTGAATGTGCCAAGTGGTTCCTGCCCCAGGGCTTCTGCATGTGCTGGTCCCCTACACCCACACCCACATCCCCCTACCCCAGCTGGGAGTGCTTTTCCCCCAGCCTTTGCGTGGGTCTCAGTGGGAATGTCTGTTCTGAGTACCCTGTCTTAGGGAGCCTCCTTCATGCTCATCACTACCCCCTTTTCTTCTCTTTTCTTTTTTTTTATTGCTTTGTTGTAGTAAATATATATGTAACAAAACATTTGCCATTTCAACAGTCTTCACATGTACAGTCCAGTGACATTATGTTTTTTATGTTGTTCAACCCTCACCCTTTTACGTTCCTAAATTTTCCCATCACCCTTAACAGAAGCTTAGTGTCCCCTAAGCATTGAGTCCTCCCCTCTCACCCGCCCTTGGTAACCAGTAATAAACGTTTGTCGCTATGCATTTGCCTCTTCTGGATGTTTCATGTAAATGGGGTCATACAGTATTTGTCCTTTTGTGTCTGACTTATTTCACTCAGCATCATGTCTTCAAGGTACATCCATGTCGTAGCATGGATCAGGGCTTAATTTCCAGTTACGGCTGAATTATAGTCCATTGTGTGGCTGGACCACACTGTGCTTATCCATTCATCCACTGAGGAACACTTGGGTTGTTTCCACCTTTTAGCGATTGTGACTAGTGCTGCATGCCATCCCCTTTCTTCACTGCAGGCATCATGGATTGCAGTTGTTGTCTGTATGTTTGGTTGCTTACGTGATGTCTGCCTCACCATCTCACCATGTTCCACAATGAGGGCAGGAGCGTGTCTGCTATAAGCCAGTGCACACCCAGCTCCAGGCCTGGGTCTGCACATGGCAAGTGATCCACATGTATTTGTTGAATGAATGATAGAATGAGTGGATGTGCCCAGACTGGTCTCCAACCACAGAAGAGTGTCAGAGGCCACTCACCCTAACCTAGCTAGGTGGACCCACAGCCCATGTGACTTGGGGTTGTGGCCAGAGCTTTAGGTCCTGGTTTGCCCCCTACTGCAACTATGGGCTTAGGGGCCCTGGCACCTGCCTTCACCCACTGATACCTCTGCGTTCCACTTACAGTGATGGTTACAAATCATCGAAAGCCACACCCTCTAAGAAGCTGGGGAAGCAGGACTCTCTTCTCCCCCTGTCGTCCCTCCGCGACCTGGTGACCCCTCCAGTTCATGAGGTGGGCATGTGTGCCCCTAACCTGGGACCTGGACTTGGGGTGGCCTTCCCTTCCCTAACAGGGTCATCAGTCAGGGTCTCCATCAGAGCTGCAATGGATGAGGAGAGAGTGGGAGAGAAGCTTCTGGAAGAAGGGCCCTCCTTAAGCAGCCATAGTGACCACTAACTGAGCCCAACACGGAGTTAGTGTTTCAGACCCTCCTCCCAACCCTGCTATAGGGCAGGGGCAATCCTTACCCTGCAGCAACAGGTTCAGAAAATGTCACGAGAAACGTGAAGGAATTCACTCAGTGGCTCACACAGCTAGTGCATGGTGGCTTTGCTGAGCTGCTCATCTGTAATTTGGAGATGATCATATCTGCCTCACTGTCCCTGGTGATGTAAATGGTTAACGCACTTGACTGCTAACAGAAAGGATAGAGGTTCGAGTCCACTCAGAGGCTCCTTAGAAGAAAGGACTGGTGATCTACTTCTGAAAAATCAGCCATCGAAAACCCTATGTAGTACAGTTCTACTCTGACACAAATAGGGGCACACCATGAGTCTAAGTCAACTCGGCAGCAATGGATTTGGGTTTTTTTGGTTTGGGTTTGGGAGAGCCTTCAGTCAGTGCTCTCAGGAATTGGTGTATCTGTCAGTGCCCCAGACCCTGCGCCCCATGGGCAGGAGGACTCAGGCCTGCGTTTTACCTGGTCTCCCAGAGCATTCCCCTGAGATTAAATGCCCGTCACCAGGAGTGGGAACCTACCTCCTCACACCCCTGTCCTTGGCTCTCCCCTCATCAGCCCTTTCTCCCATGTGAATGCTTGACTTGAGTCACTGTCTCAGGGTTGTTCCTTGCAGACCCCAACCCCCAGGGTGGTAACAACCAGTGCTTGCATGACCATCCCGTTGATCTCCTGCAGAAGCCGAGCTCCCTGAGCTTGAAGGACCTGGTCTCCAAGCTGTGCTCGCCAGCCAACCTGGACCTGAACACTCCACAGGCAGTGACAGAGGCTGGGGGCCTGGCCCTAAGTACCCAGGCCCTGAAGGAGATGGCCGTGAGCACCAAGAGCATCGCCCTCATTGCAACCACCCGGCGCTCCAAGGTGCAGGACCATGAGGGCAGCTGCAACCACTCCCCCCACCACCTCCCAGTGGAGGGAGCCCTGCACTCCAGGGATCAGAAGCCCAGCGTCACCCCAAACTCTAGCCCAGCAGGAGACAGGTGGCAGCCCCATGCCAGCCCATGCAGAGACCACTCCATGGAGAGGAAGGCCCAGAAGAAGCGGTTGCCCTCCCTCACCTGGGGCATGCAACTGGTGTGTGGCCATCCCTGGGCCTAGTTGGAGCAGATGGCTGGAAGCTGTGTGGGATATCGGGAGGGAGAGGGTGGTAGGCAGGGGCAGTCAGGGATCAGCACATATTTATGAGGGATGCGCAGTCCCTGGGTGGTGCAAATGGTTCACGTGCTCAGCTGCTAATCGAAAGGCTGGAGGTTTGAATCTACCCAGAGGTGCCTCGGAAGAAAGACCTGGCAATCTACTTCCAAAAAATCATCCATTGAAAACCCTATGAAGCACAGTTCTACTCTGACACACGTGAGGTCACCGTGAGTCAAAATCAGCTTGACAGCAACTGGGTTTATGGGGGCCACAGCAGAGCCCTAGACATAAAAGAGATATAAGCAGAAAACCAGTGCCCCCACATAGACCTGTACCCTAATTAGGACCATTTTTCAGGCTCCTTTCCCATCTTAAGCCACCAACCAGTTGCCATTGAGTCAATTCCAATTCATGGTGACCCCATGTGTATCACAGTAGAACTGTGCTCCATAGGGTTTTTAATGGCAGATTTTTCTGGAAGAAGATTGCCAGCCCTTTCTTCTGAGGAGCCTCTGAGTGGACTCCAACCTCCAAAATTTCAAACTTTGGGTTAGCAGCCGAGCGTGTTCACCATTCACACTGCTGAGGGACAGTCTTAAGCCACGTGCGTACATATTTCATGTCATTATAATCCCAGTGGAAATAGTTTTGTGAACTTTTTTTTCTTAACATTATTTCATAAGTTATGTTCATATGCCTCCATAATGTCTGTATTTTAATTTAAAAAGGGTGCAGTACTTGGCTCTAAAATACCAGTTAAATAATCTTGTATGAGAAGTGAGTTATTAGGTGCAAAGCACTAGGATTATGTTTTTTTCCTTCTCACCATCCCCAGGCTGGGCATACACAGTCCCTCAGTCAGTATCTGGGGAGCAGGGACCACTAGACACAATCCCATTTAGGTGTCACTTGGTGATTTCCTGATCCCTTTTAAATGGCCATTTTGGTTGTGTTTAGTTTTTGATTACTACATAATGACCTATGAGCATCCCTATGTGAAGAGTATTTTTACTTTCGAATTACTTGTTTGGGGGATCCATGTGATCATTAAAGGTTCTAAATATGTGGAAATGGGGATCCCTGGGAAGGTCTCAATGAACTAGGATTGAGCAAAAATCAGAGAGCATGCAGCAGAATGCCAAGTTGTTCAGGATGGTGTGAAATTGTTTGCATAAGGGGAAGGGGGCGGTACCACAGGTGCTCAGGTGGAGTGGTCTTCACTCCCTGGAGCACCTTTTCCACCGTACCTTTGGTTCAGTAAACCAGAGAGAGAGTAAGAGGGTAGGCTCCTCCTTGGACAAGCTGGCTAATGGTCAGTGGTCTGACAGGTCTTTGTTCTGCCTCAGCCACCTGGCTCCTTGTGCCCCGGCTGACACACAGTGGGTGTTTACTGAGTCAAGACTGAAGTTAGTCTGCTGGCTTGTTCAGTTGAGGAGAAGGTAGGACAGTAGCAGGGGTCAGAGGGCAAGTGTAGATGAGACCTCCCAACATAGGGGGTAGTGAAAGGGAAAAGGTGGGAAGAGAGACAGCCAGGAGAGCATTCATTCATTCATTGAGAGTTGGAGGAGAAGGTTAGAGTGATTCCATCTGTTTTGCCACTGTAGGTTCCCACCAGCCAACAACAGTACCTGGCACACAGTAGGCATTTAATCAATACATGACTTCAGCTCAAGATGACCTTGACACAGCTTCCGTTTGCTACCTGCACCTCACGCCCTGCCCTGCTGTGTGATTTTTCTCTGCAGGCAACGGAGAAACTTCAGCCCTCCTCCATGGAGCATTTGGTGGAGAGTCAGCCACCCCCTGCACTGCCCCCTCAGCTGTCCAAGTCCAGAAAGAGCTTTTTCCCAGCTGTCCCTGCAGCGTCCAAGATAAAACCCAGCCTCAGTCTCCACGCAGGTACAGATTTGAGAAAAGGAAATAGCACGTTGGTTTTTTCTTTCTTTCTTTCCTTTTTTAAAAATAATATTTTATTGTGTTTAAGGTGAAAGTTTACACGGCAAATTAGGTTCTCATTTAATAATTTCTACACAAATTATTATTGTGATATTGGTTACATTTTTCACAATGTGTCATCATTCTCATTCATTCCGTTCTGGTTGTACCCATCCCAGTACTCTAGTTTCCCTGTTCCCTTACCTTCTTATCTTTGCTTTAGAGTAATTGTTGACCATTTGGTCTCATATATATGGTTTTTTAAAGGAGCACATTACTTATGGATGATATTCTTTACTTTATGAGCCAGTTATTATTTAACTAAAAGGTGACCTCGGGGGTTTTTTGTTTGTTTGTTTGTTTGTTTTTTTCTGTATCTTAAGACTGTTACTCCTTCTGATTATGAATCTTTGTAATGCATGGTAGTTTGGGCTGTTATCAGTTGTCTGCCCCTGGGTGTGAGTGAGTTTCAGGTTTTCTTAGGACAGTGAATGAGCCAAGGCCACAGGCTTCATGAAAAGCGGTATTTGCAGGGGTGCTGTGTTTTGCTTCTGGCCTGCCTGACATCCCAATAAAAAAAGCAAAAAAAAAAAAAACTAGTTGTCTTCAAGTCAGTTTTGGCTCCTGGCGACCCCGTGTGCAGAGTAGAACTGCACTCCATGGGGTTTTCAGGGCCGTGACCTTTCAGAAGCAGATTGCCAGGCCTCTCTTGCGAGGTGCCTCTGGGTGGGTTCGAACCACCAACCTTTCAGTTAGCAGCAGAGCACTTAACCGTTGCACCACCAGGGCTCCTTAGTGCATCTTTAAGGTTCTTGATAAATACTTCAAGGGCAGTAGAAGCAGTATACACACCCACGCTCTGCTTTGGTGGTTGGCAGGCATCTTGGCACAAACTAACTTCATAGACATGGTGTTAAAGACTTTTCTAAAATTTTTGATCTTGACTCCAAAATTCAGATTTATCTGTCTTTTCCCAGCGTGGCTACTGTAATTACCTGGATCAAAGTAGGCCCAATAAGCACTTAAAGTGTTCTTTACCTTTATGGGCTTTCCTGCTTGTCAAAAGTTTTTATTATTATTATTTTTTTCCTGATGACATGCTCATAAAAAGAAAAAAGATAGGCACAGACAGTGCAGAGTGGCCAGGGGTGGGAGCTTTGAAGTGCAGTGGGAGCTTTGAAGCTTTGAAGAGCGACTGGGTTCCACTCCATACCTCTCTCCTTAGCTGATAGGCAGGTTATATGACTGGCCAGGTGCCAGCTCCCTCACTTGGAAGAGATGTTAATGTTAGCACCTACCTGGGGTGAGAGTGGGAAGATTGTGAGATGCCCATGAAGTAATGTGCGTGGTGGGTTGGCATGCTGTGGCCCCAGCAAGCTTGAAATAGATGCATTTATTATTATTGCTTAATTAAAATGTTAACCACCACTCATCTGTCAGTGTGCTGTACTGTGGTGGCTTGCATGTTGGTAGGATGCTGGATGCTATGCCACTGGAATTTCAAATACCAGCAGGGTCACTCAGCAGGTGATTTCAGTGGAGCTTCCAGACTCAGAATAGGAAGAAAGGCCTGGTGATCTACTTTCAAAAATTAGCCAATGGAAACCCTATGGATCACAATCAAATACTGTCCAATATAATGCTGGAAGATGAGCCTCCTAGGTTGGAAGGCACTCAGAATATATAGTGGCTGCAATAACGTAATTGAGCACACCACCGATTTTGAGGATGACACAGGACCGGGCAGTGTTTTGTTCTGTTGTGCATGGGGTCGCCAAGAGTTGGAGCTGACTCAATGCAACTAACAACAACAGAAGATTAAAGTCTCCTGTGATTCCCCCTTCCCAACCCCAGCCCCTGAAGGCAAGTTATGTTTATATCTCCTTTAGAAACAAACCTGGTGGAATGTGTCTGTGTATATGATTAACCTGAAGTTTTCTCTCCCCAACACTTTACTATTAAAATTTTAAGCACATACAGAAGTAGAGAGAACAGTATAATAACCTTCAATGGATTCATCTCCCAGCTCCAACAACAATCAATGCTCTGCTAAACCTGTTTCCTCTATTCCTATGCCTTTTTGTCCATTTGTGTGTTATTTGCTTTCCTGGAGATGTTTAAAGAAACTCTTTGAGTGCTTGTTATTTTACCCATAAATATTTCAAGAGTGATCTCTAATGGATCACACGGTTTTACATGTAATACTCACAAAAATTAAGAGTAATTCCTTAATATCGTCTCATGCCCAGTCAATGTTCCAAATAAATAAGCCTATTTCAAATAAAAATTGGTGGATTCTAACCAGCCCTCTCAGTTGGCAAGGAAGGGGACCCCTTCTTCATTGGCACCAGGCTATGCTCCTACTGCAGGGAGGTGCTGAGCTGTCCTTTGGGGGTTCTCCAAGCAGAGGCTGTGCCCCTTCTCTCAACAATGTTTACAGAGAATGCCAGCAGTGGGTAAAAATCCATTGCCATCAAGTCAACTTTGACTCATGGCAACCCCACATGTTACAGAGTAGAACTGAGCTCCATAGGGTTTTCCTGGCTGTAATCTTTATGGAAGTAGATCACCAGGCCTTTCTTCTGTGGTGCCACGATGTGGGTTCCAATGACCAACCTTTCGGTTAGTGGCTGAGTGCTTAATTGTTTGCACCACCCAGGGTCCTCCCTGTGGTGGGTAGAGGTTCTTAACTCTACAACTGTGGGTTTCTGTGGTCTAAAATTCAAAGTAGATTAAAGCCAGATGGTCCTTCAAGATCTGTAGTCCAACCATTTTAGGATTCAGATGGGTAACCTGGGCCCACATTATAGAAGCAACATATCCAGGGCCACATTGTGAGTCGACAGCGTGGCCAGGATGGATGCCCCAGCCCCTAGGGCAGTGTTCCTCCCACTGTGCCTGGCTTTCTCTGTTTGGAGAAAGAACACCTGTACTTGGCAGGTGTAAAATTAAGGCCTCCAGGTAGTTGGGGTAGACCAGTATCCCCTTTCTCTGGCCTGGCGCCATGTAGGTCTATGCTGAAAACAGACCTTCCCCAGGAGCCAGAGGATCGTGAACTTACAATGTTTGCAGAGGCCTGGGTTCCCTGGGGACAACTTCTTGGGCTGAGAGGCAGATCAGTTCCAATCTGATTGCTCCTTTGTGCCTTAGATTGATGGCCTTGCTGGTCCAGCCTCCATTCCCTGATACATATCACGTTTGGGTGTGCAGTCATAAGTCATCGCCCTGAGTACCCTGAGGGGGTGGGCAGGGAGGCCAACATTCACCCAGGCCAGTGGTTCCAGAAAGGAGTGAAGGAGTTGCCTCACTTATCATTCACAACAACCTTCTCTGTAAAAATGATGCCAACTGTAAAAATGACGTAGCAGCAGCATCTAACCTCTTAGTCTGACTTCACAAGGGGAGTGAATCACCATCAACATCATCCCAAAGCTGATATGAGGTAGAGGTTAGACACACCTCCTCTCTCCTCCCTTTTTACCAATTCTGACGCCAGCTGTCCCTCCCATGGTACTCTCTACTTCTCTGCTAGAGGTTCAATAGTTCATTGCAATGGCCACACAGAACTCACAGACAATACTCACGATTATGGGGTTTATTAGGGGAGTAACAGGTTATGACTTGGGATCAAGCTACAACTTGGGATTAGGATTAGGAAGCATGTAGGCCAAGTCTCCTTTCTCCCTTTTTCAGCTCTCTCAGCTCCCCTCGGCCATGCAGGGCTCCTCTTGGCCCCCTGAGGACAGACCCCTCTCAGCTCCCTGAGGACAGGCTCCTCTCGACCCCCTTGGGACAGGCCTAGGCTCCAGGCCTCAACTTTGCCCTATGTGGGCAAGTTTTATAAAGCTTTTAGCTCTACTGATAAGTGCCTGGAGGCACCCCACTCCACCAGCAAGCCTCCTGCCTGAAGGCTCTCAGCTCTCTCACTCCGTGGGTTGGCATGCCTATGGTGGCCGTCTTGCTCCATTGGCTGAGAAGCCCATCTGGTGCTGGTCTCATGGTTCTGCTGCTGCCACTGTTTCTCTGTCTCACTTCCAGCTGTCTTGCACTGTCTCCACTGTTACAGCTCTCTCTCTCTCTCTCTGTCTCTCTCTCTCTCTCTCTCTCTCTCTCTCTCTCTCCCCTGGGTCTAGGAGGTTCTCAGCACAGGCACCCTGGGTCCAAAGGATGCACTCTGCTCCTGGCTTTTCTTTCTTGGTGGTAGAGAGGTTGCCCCTCTGTTCTGGGATTAGCTTTCTTTTAAGCCTAGCAGGATAGCAGAACTGTCAAATCCCCTTGTTAGGGTTCCATATACCTTATTTTCATGGTCCCACCCCCACAAGAGTTCCATGCACCTTATTTGCATTATTAGCAAGCTGTCCAATCCCCTTGGTGGGCCACAAACACTTTAGTTGCATAGTCCCACCCAATCGTTGTGTGAAAGTTACAAGACCATGCATGACTAAAGGGCCGTATTAAGCAATTCCCTGTACTTGACTCTCCAGTAGATGTCCATTTTACAGAATGAGCAAACAAGGAGCAGAGGGGTGAAAGGAACTGGCCCAGGGTCATATACATACCTGTACATTGGCAGCCCAGGTTGGCCTGCCTCCCAAGTCCACATACATGTCCCCTACACATTAGTTCTCAGTTCCCTCCTAGGGCCCAGTGGGAAATGTTTTCCCTAATACTCAGTCAAGGAGAGTGAAACACATTCAAATGGTCAAATTCCTCTGAACAAAGAACTCTTTCCCCTGATTTCGAGCTACCTAGCATCCAAAGCAGCTTAGAATTTTCATACCAGGTTTCAGGTGGCACCTTACAGACCAAACCTGCTCATCTGCAGAGTCTATTTGGCCAGCACCCCATTGTTAAATAGCATGGAGAATCAGAGCACGTAGAAAATGTGAAAATGCCACTTCTCTTACAAGAAGACTGTCTGGTGACACAAGGCTCCTTCAGACCCAGACTCAACTACCAACCCCTCGGCGACGTCCTCCTTGACTGTACTCTTTCAGATGGCGACCATAGCACTTGCCCACTTCTAAGGTGAAAAGCATCGATCTTTTGCTTTTGTTTATCATCTTTCTCCCCCTTCTGGTATACAGGCTTTATGAGGACAGTGATGTTTGTCAGTCTGGTTCACTATGTGTCCAGTGCTTAAACAGTGCCTAGCACATAGTCCCGTAAAACCAGTTGCCATCAATGTTTTATTACCTATATATTTACCACAAAAAAAGAAAAAGAAACAAAGAAAAGCAATTAAAAAAAAAAAACAAAGTTGCCGTCAAGTTAACTCCGACTCAGGACGACCCCATTTGTGATCAGAGTAGAACTGTGCTCCATAGGGTTTTCAAAGGTTGATCTTTTGGAAGTAGATCACCAGACCTTTCTTCTGAGGCACTTCTGGGTAAACTTGAACCTCCAACTTTTCAGTTAGCAGCCAAGCGCGTTCACCATTTGTACCACCCAAGGACTCCAGTTGTCATCTATGATTGAGCTCCTGTATCTTCTGGGCTCCTCCACTCATTGATTCCTGACTAGACTTGGTGGGTATCCGGCCTAGAGGGCTCTGAAGTTCAAGTCCAACCTTTTTTTTTTTTTTGTTAATTGAGGTAAAATTTATGTAACATAAAATATACCATTTTGAAGTATACAATTTAGTGGCACTTGGCGCATTCACATTCTTGTGCAACTATCATCTCAATCTAGTTCCCATACATTTTCATCACCCTAAAAGGAGACCCCATACCCATCGGCAGTCACTCCCCATTCTATCCCACTTCAGCCTCTGGCAACCAGTAATAAATATTTGTCTGTACGTATTTGCCTGTTCTGAATATTTCATATAAGTGGGATCATACAACATTTTCTCTTTCATGTCTGGCTTATTTCACTCAACATAGTGTTTTCAAAGTTCATCCATGTCATAGCATGTATCAGAACTTCATTACTTTTTATGGCTGAGTAATATTCTATTGTATGATTGGACCACATTTTGTTTATCCATCATCTGTTGATGGACATTTGGGTTGTTTCCTCCTTTTGGCTGTTGTGAGTAATGTTGCTAAGAACATTCGGGCACAAGTTTCTGTGTTGACAATATCTTTTCATTCCTCTTGGGTATATACCAAGGAGTGGAATTGGTGGATCTTATGGTAATTCCATCTTTAACTTTTTTTTTTTTAATTGTGCTTTAGGTGAAAGTTTACAGAGCATATTAGTTTCTCATTAAACAATTAATATGTAAATTGTTTTGTGGCATTGGTTACAAACACATGATATGTCAACACTCTACCCTTCTTGACCTTGGGGTCCCCATTTCCATTTGTCCAGTTTTCCTGTCCCTTCCTGCCTTTGCTTTTGGGCTGGTGTGCCCATTTAGACTCTTATACATGGTTGAACTACATGTGTTATTATTTGTTTTATAGGCCTGTCTAATCTTTAGCTGATGGGTGAACTTCAGGAGTGACTTCAGTACTGAGTTAAAAGGGTGTCCAGGGGCCATACTGTCTGGTCTATTTTTGTGAGTTAGAATTTCGTTCTACATTTTTCTCCAGCTCTGTCCGGGACCCTCTATTGTGATCTCTGTCAGAGCAGTGAGTGGTGGTAGCCGGGCACCGTCTAGTTGTTCTGGACTCAGTCTGGTAGAGGCTGTGGTAGTTGTGGTCCATTAGTCCTTTAGACTAATCTTTCCCTTGTGTGTTTGGTTTTCTTCATTCTCCTTTGCTCCAGACCGGGTGGGACCAGTAAATGTATCGTAGATGGCCACTCACAAGCTTTTAAGACCCCATATGCTACTCACCAAAGTAGGATGTAGAACATTTTCTTTATAAACTATGTTATGCCAATTGAGCTAGATGTCCCACAAGACCATAGTTCCCAACCCTCAGCCCAGTAACTCAGTCCCTCAGAGAGTTTGGATGTGTCTATGAAGCTTCTATGACTTTGCCTTGGTCAGGTTGTGCTGACTTCCACAGTATTGTGTACTGTCTTACCCTTTACCAAAGTTACCACTTATCTATTGTCTAGTTAGTGTTTTTCCCTCCTCACCCCTCCCCTCCCTTGTAACCATCAAAGATTGTTTCATTCTGTGTAAACTTTTCTATGAGTTTTTCTAATAATGGTCTCATACAGTATTTGTCCTTTTGTGATTGACTGATTTCACTCAGCATAATGCCCTCCAGATTCATCATGTTGTGAGATGTTTCGCAGATTCATCATTGTTCTTTATTGTTGCGTAGTATTCCATTGTGTGTATGTACCTAAGTTTGTTTATCTATTCATCTGTCGATGAGCACTTAGGTTGTTTCCATCTTTTTGCTATTGTGAATAATGCTGCAATGAACTGGGTGTGCATGTCTATTCATGTGACGGCTCTTATTTCTCTAGGATATAGTCTTAGGAGTGGTATTACTGGATCATATGGTGTTTCTGGGGCCCTGGTGGTATAATGACTAAAGAGCTTGGCTGCTAACCAAAAGGTCAGCCGTTTGAATCCACCAGCCACTCCTTGGAAAGCCTATGGGGCAGTTCTACTCTGTCCTATAGGAACAATATTATTTTAGCATGGGTGGGCAGGGAGGCCCCTCTTTGGGGAACAGTGGAGCAGATACCCGAGGAAGATTCACTTCTTTCCCCACCCACTGTCCCTTCCTTCCTTTTCTGTTTGATGGTGACAACTGAATTAAACTTTGGTCAGAAACCTAGAAAATCCCCTTTGTTGTCATGTGATGGCCAGTTGGGGGCAAGAAGGAAAACAAGAAAGAAGGAAAGGAAGAACATAGTTGCTGGGAGGGAAAAAGGAACCAAAAGGAGGCAGAATGTTCCAGAAAGGATAGAGCACAGAGTTCACATAAACTGTATTCCCCTCTCAGGGCTATGGGGAGTACAGATGAGAAAACTTATTCAAGAGCCTGGCATGCAGTAGGTACTCGGTATATCGTATCTATGATTCCTTATATGGCTTTATTTCAGGATTCACTAGGTGGTTCCTAAAAGGTAACGATAATATTCTTTTGTCTTCGGTCTCACGTTTTAGATGAGAACACGCTCCATATGCCTGAGGTCAGCTTCACCTTCCCCCGCACCACGTGGCAGAGCAGTGCAGGCCTGAGCAGGGTGCCCGTTCTGCCCCGGGACATCCGAGGTCAGTGCCTGCCTCCTCCCCTCTGCGCACGGGCCTGCAGCATCCACCTGTTGGCTTCCTGGGTGCTTAAGACAACCTTCACGGGGAGAAGTCAGGGGGCAGGGGTGATAGCAGTACATGTGTAACCTCACTGTCCACTGCTCACCAAGCACTCCCTCACCTGTTAGGGAGAAGTCAGGGGAATGGCAGCAATACACGTATACCTCCCCACCCCCCACCCCCAGTCCCTGGTAACCTCTAACCTACTTTCTGTCTCTATGTATTTGCCACTTCTAGATACTTCATATAAGTGAAATCATACAGTATGTGTCCTTTTGTGTCTGGCTTATTTCACTCAACATAATGTTTTCAGTATTGTAGCATGCGTCAGAATTTCATTTCTCTTTATGGCTGCTGATGGACACCTGGGTTGTTTCCACCTTTTGGCTCTTGTGAATATTGCTGCAGTGAACACTGGTGAACAAGTATCTGCTTGAGTCCCTGCTTTCAGTTCTTTTGGTTATATACCTAGGAGTGGAATTGTTGGGTGACTTGGTCATTCTATGTTTAGCTTTTTGAGGAACCACGAGACTGTTTTTCACAGCAGCTGCACCATTTTCCGTTCCCACCAGCAATGCATGAGCCTTTCAATTTCTCCACATCTTTGCCAACACTTGCTATTTTTTGTTTTTCTTATAATAGCCATCCTACTGGGATTGACTGGTGCTGTACCTTTAACCCATGTTATTGTTTCAGAAAAAGGCTAAGAGCTATTCATTATCATTCTATTCTTCTTAAGGGTCCTTAAGTGTCTTAGGGTCTCCAAGATGTTTACTGGCCATGACTTTGGCCTGCAGCCCCCAAGCAGAGCAAGCTGAGTAACAGCAATGCACAATGTATCTGTAAATGGGAGGGATGAGGACTTTCTGTCAAGTGTCCCCCATCTTAATCGTGCCTGGCCAGAGCTATGGGTATGTCCAGCCATGATGGAGACAGTGACTGAGTGAGGGTCCTTGGGGCAGCTAGCAGCCAAGTCAGGTCAGAAGCATGGCCCTGGGCTGGGAGGTGAAGTGGCACTGGACATGGGAAGGGCTGGAAGAGGGAAAAGGAGGCCGGGTGCCAGAGATGTGAGTCCCAACCTGTGTCTCTAGGCAGCTCAGACAAGGGGCAAAGCAGCCCATGCCATTGGGGATCCAGCCAGGGGACCCATGCTGGGACTCTGGCTCCGCTTGACCTTGTCTTGACCACACACTAAAGTCTCCCCACGCCCTCCAGGGTCAACAGACAGCAGAGGCCAGCGACACAGCCTGCTGCCCCCCAGCAATCCCCTCAAGCACCAGGGGGGCAGCGCCAAGAGGCCACGGAGACTGAAATAAAGATGGCAGCTGGCAAGCTGGAGAAGGCCAGAGGCAAGTCCTAAGGGCGCAGACACTGGACTTGAGCATGGGGGCCTGGCAGGGACACCTGGGGCAGCCCACCCACCCCGCGCTGCCTAACAGCCCACTTTCAGAAGAAGGGCCTGTCAGTGGCGTGTCCAGAGCCCTCCCCAAAGGCCCTTTTCTGGTTATTCCTGACTGCGGATGCTCTTCCTGGATCCCTCCACACCATGGTTTCTGCTCGGGGGAGAATGTGCTCCATGGGGTGGGACACCAGCCACAGCCTACCAGTGCAGGCTTGGCTGCAGACACTGTTGGGGGTGTCCGAGCAGCTGCAGGCAGGTGGCCCCCAAACTTTGGCCAGCCTGCAGAGGGACACTGGTCCCTTCCCCATGTACAACAGGCCCCTGGGGACAGCGTGAGGATAGGAGAATGTTCTGCCATTCCTGACCACCCCCACCGTGTTGTAATATCCCTCCCCAACATCCCAAGAACGCAGGGAAAGTGTTGCTGACTGTTGGAAACAAGATAGAATTGTCAGAGTACTCAGAACCAGCCCCGAAAACTGGGAGCCCAAAAGTCAAGGTTCTAATTGCATTAGGATTATAAAAGTTTCAGTCATTTTTTTATCAAGATAGAAAAAAAAAGAAAAACTGTGAGTGCCATCCTGTGGAGAGGTGGGGCATTACCTTGTTGGGCTGTGGGGTTTTGCACTTGGCTGTAGTTTTCAAACCAGTGCCCTCCCCCAGAGTTGCTCTCAGGGGCCCCTTTGTGGGAGGCCATGGGGGCCAGAGCCACCTCCGTTGTGGCAGGGAGCCACCTTCCTGTGTTGGGCAGTTTGTCCCTTGAGGAGTGGCAGCCACCAGGGCTGAGCCCTGGCAGGACCACGGCTGGAAACAGTGACCAGCTCTGTGGTTCTCTGGTGAATCTGCCTGCAAGAGGGCTCGGGAGGGACGGGGGTATGGTCTCTCAGCCTGAGCACACTCGGGTCTTTGGCCTCAAGCACTTGAGGGCAGACCATAGATGTGCAAATGGCACAGCAGACACAGGGCCTGGCCTCATCGTTATTGTCATATCTGCTGCCACAGAAGACCTACTAGTGTCTTCATTGAAACCACCTTGTCCCTACTAGGTAATCTTCTGCTTTTTACTTTTTATTGTGGTAGACTATAGATAATAAAATACTTGCCTTTCAACCATTTTTACATGTACAATTCAGCAATCTTAATTACATTTATCATGTTGTGCAAGTATCACCACTACCTGTTTCCAAATGTTTTCATCACCCTTAGCGGAAACAGTACCCCTTAAGCAATAACTCCCCCTTTCTCCCTCCCACCTTCCCTTGGTAACCAATAATAAACTTTGGTCTCCATACATCTGCCTGTTCTAGATATTTCATATAAGTGGGATCATACACTTGTGACTGACTTATTTCATTCATCATAATATTTTCGAAGTTCATCCATGTTGTAGCATGTATCAGGACTTCATGCCACTTTATGACTGAATAATATTCCATTTTATGGATGGACCACATCGTCTTTATCATCATCTGTTGATGGACACTTGGATTGTTTCCAGCTTTGGGCTATTGTGAATAGTGCTACAGTGACCATTGGTGAACAAGTATCTGTTTGAGTCCTTGCTTTCAGTTCTTTTGGTTATATACCTAGGAGTGGAATTGCTGAGTCATATGGTAATTCTACCTTTAACTTTTTGAGGAACTGCCAAACTATTTTCCACAGTGGTTGTACCATTTTATATTCAATGATGCATGAGGGTTCCACTCTCTCCACATCCTCACTAACACTGTTGTTTTCTGTTTTTCTCATAATACCCATCCTAGTGGGAGTGAGTTGGCACCTCATTGTGGTTTTGATTTGCATTTTCCTCATGACTAATGATATTGAACATCTTTCCATGAGCTTCTTGGCCATTTGTATGTCTTTTTTGGAGAAATGTCTTTTCAAGTTCTTTGGCCATTTTTTTTTTTTTTAAATTGTACTTTAAGTGAAAGTTTACAATTCAAGTTAGTCTCATACAAAAATTTATGTATACATTGTTATGTGACCCTAATTGCTCTCCCTATACTGTGACAGCACATTCTTCCTTTCCACCCGATTTCCTGTGTCCATTCAACCAGCTCCTGACCCTCTCTGCCTTCTCATCTCCCCTCTGGACAGGAGCTGCCCATTTTGTCTCATGTATCTACTTGAGCTAAGAAGCACATTCTTTGTGAGTATCATTTTATGTCCCATAGTCCAGTCTAATCTTTGACTGAAGAGTTGGCCTCAGGAATTGTTTTAGTTCTTGGTTGACAGAGAGTCCGGGGCCATGCTTTCCAGGGTTCCTCCAGTGTCAGTCAGACCATTAAGTCTGGTCTTACCAGAATTTGAGTTCTGCGCCCCACTTTTCTCCTGCTCCAACAGGGACTCTCTGTTGTGTTCCTTGTCAGGGCGGTCAATGGTGGTAGCCAGGCACCATCTAGTTCTTCTGGTCTCAGGCTGACGCAGTTTCTGGTTTATGTGGTCTTTGGCCATTTCTTGATTGAGTTGTTTGTGTTTTCATTGTTGAGTTGCTTTCTGGGTCTTCTTGAGGAGTGTGGCGGAGGTTGTTCTGAGGCTTCACTGCACAGGAGGAAAGAGACGTGTGGTGCAGACTCAAGAAACTGACCTGGAGAGAAACAGACAAGGGAAGGGCAAGGGAAGGAAGTCGTATGGAAAAGCGTGGAGAGAACTAGTGGTGTTTTCCTAGAGAGGGGGCATAAAGTCTGGGTGGCCAAGAGGGCTGCCTTAGTAGGGAGTGAGCTCCCTAACTTGGAGGCATGCAAGCAGGGGCGAGAGTGTTAAGAGTGTTGTTCTATATTGGTGACACAGGCCTCAGGTGGCACGGGGTTTAATGATCTTTCAGTCTCCTTGAGAAGGGATCGTCCTAACTCCACTGAGAGGGAGCTGAAGATACTCCTTCCCCAAACTGCCTTGTCTTTTCTGGAACATTCTTGTGGAGATTAGCCATGTGTAGACACCAGAGGTGTGTGGGGAGGGGGCGCAGGGGCTAGAGGGGGGCATTTGCCCCAGGGCGCAAGTCCAAGGGAGCCAGAGACAAGGCCAGGCGGATCACCACTCCCCTCGATGACAGGGGTGGGCACAAACTTAGAAATTGCCCCTGGGCACTGGTTACCCTCCCTAGACCTCTGGTAGATGCATCAGGATTTGGGTACCGTACAGCTCATCCAGCTGCTTCTTTCCAGAGCTTCCATGACTTTCTGTTCATACTCCCCTCTCCCGGCATTCTAGCCCTTAGCACATGGAATTGCGGGCTGGGTTTCAGTTCCTCAGGCCAGGGTCAGGCCCACCTTACCACAGCACCTCCAGGGCTCCCTGGGGCCTGGCCCAGAGTCCCTCCCTGCTACGGATTGAATTGTGTCTCCCAAAAAGACATGTTGAAGTCCTAACCCCAGCACCCTTGAACATGCCCTTGTTTAGAAATTAAGTCTCTGAAGATGTTATCAGTTAGGTTAACATGAGGTCATACTGGGGTAGGGTGGGTTCTAATCCCATCTGAGTGATACACTATAAAAGAGGAGAGGAGACACAGAGAAACACAAAGACAGCCATGTGAAGACAAAGACAGTGATTTGGATTCATGCGTCTACAAGCCAAGGAATGCCAAGGATCGCTGGCCCTCACCAGACGCTAGCAAGGAAGGATTCTTCCCAAGAGCTTCCAGAAGGAACCAGTGCTACCGAAACCTTGATTTCAGACTTTGAGCCTCCAGAACTATGAGACAAATGAGTTTGCAATGGTTTAGCCACCCAGCTGTGGTACTTTGTATAGCAGCCCCAGGACACTTACGTATCCCCCTCGGGGGCTCCTGCTGCCTCCAGAATAAGATGTGGCCTCTGCCTCTGCAAGCACTCTGATGACCAGGAGAGTGACCTGGAGGAGGTGGAGGGGTTTGTCCGGACTGGGGGCTGGGGGTGGGGGGTGGCGAGAGTAGGGGGCAGGGGAAGACAGGCATTCGGCTTGATGGCCTCCCTGGGGTGACCCCATCCACTTACTGCTTTTCAGTGGCCATGACAATGACCAATGTTTATATCTCAGCCTGGACCCCTCCCCTGAGGCCGTGATGCAAACACCCAACTTCCTCCTGCCGGGATCCATGTCCTGCAGGCGCCTCTAACTCAGCACGCAACACCAAGTTCAAGGCGTATGTGCCCCCCACGCTGCTTCTCCTCCAGGGCGGCCTCCTCTCATGTTGGCACCACCACACACTCAGTTACCCATCCAGGAATTAGTTGTCAACCTTGTCCTCTCTCTTCCTCCCACCCTTCATCAGTCAACCCCCAAGCCCCATCCATTCTGCCTCCCAAATATTTCTCATATCAATTCCTGTCGCTCCATCTCCTCTCCTACCACCACCTGAGCCCAAGACACCGTCATCTCTGTCAAGACTGCTGAAGTACCTCCTCACTGGTCTCCCACAGGGACCCTGTAGGTGCCTGCAGTTTGCATACACCCTCTCTTAATATCATAACACCCGTAAGAGGTGACCAGTTGCTGTGGAGCCAGTTCTGACTCATGGCAAACCCATGTGTATCAGATCAGAACTACACTCCATAGGATTTTCAAGGGCTGATTTTTGGGAGTAGATCACCAGGCCTTTCTTCCAAGGTGCCTTTGGGTAGACTCAAACCTCCAACCTGTCAGTTAGCAGCCGAGCATGATTACCTTACTGCTTTTAATGGTTAGGAATTATATTTTAGGCTTAAATATTTTAGAGTCTTAATATAGTAGATATATTGAAACCGATGTAAAATCTTCCTGTTTTTACATAGGAATGGTGTTGTGATACACTGTGTGCATTTTTTGTTTCCTTGTTGGTTTTTGTTGTGTTTGCTATTTAAAATCTAAACATATGACTTCTTCTTTCATGATGCCTTTCTTTAATCCTTTTATTTATAATAAACGCTTTTTACTTTTTTTGGAAGTAGATCC